CCTCCCCTCCCCCTCCCTCTTCCCCTACCCCTCGGAGCCCCCCTAAGTCTCCCTCCCCGACCGCGATCATTGGGATTCCCCCCTCGCTCATTAACATCCGAGTCCTCAGTCCCACTTCCCCCAGGCGTAGCAGTAGCTCTCCATGAAGAAGCCTTCAGCTCTCTCTGCTCACCCCCGAAATGCGAGAATTTAGCTTCGAGGCGCCGCATTTGTCTGTTGTCGCGGGAGAGCATTAGGGCCCAGCCTTCGAGGGATTCGTCTGTCATGCCCGTTTCTGATTTTAAGACTGCGCGGGCGGGACTACGACGGGTTGGTGGGTCTCGTCCAAAGACCTTAGGATTGGATTTGAAGGCTTTGAATAGGATTTCGTCCTGAGCATCTCGTAGTTCGTGAGAGAGTGAGGGTTCATTCGTGTTTCCTGGTGTTGCGTAGTCGACTGTTCCGCCTACGTCTGCGGTGTCGTAGGTATCGTCCCGCTCATCGTCGTCGAAGTCGAATGCTGCGAGCGCGGAGAGAATCGCGGCTTTATTTGGGGCGGTGGATTTATCGTCTAGGACGTCATCAGCTGTTTGGTTGGGATTTCGACGGCCGATGTGGAGTTTTGAGGTTTGGATTGTGAGGTTGTCAAAGGCGTCATTGTCGAATATGTTGCATCGTTCTGGGAGGTCGGATACGTATTCTGGCGGGGTGGAATGTGGTGCTAAATTTGGTACGAAGTCTCTTGAGGTCTGAGTGGGTGGTTTTCTGGAACTTGTTAGTAAGGTTTTGTTATGGATTTGGATGATGGACATACAGTTCTTCTGTACGATCTGCTTTCTCGAGATGAGGCGGCAATGAACCATCTAGAAGATGAGAAATAACCTCTTCTGTGTTATCCCCATACTCATCAAGTAGTTTAACCACGAACCCTGACCCAAGATCCGGAAATAAATCCTGAACTTGAGATACCAGACTCATCCGATGAATATGAATTTCATTGCTCGACCCAAACCCATCCTCCCATCCAACATCCACACCCTTCCCCTTCTCGCGTCTCTTAACCTTCCTAACTGGTCTCTTCAACCCCCCCGCTTTCTTGAATCCCTCCAAATTCGTCAGAACAGAGGCCGCTCTCCCACTTCCAGACCCACTTGCAGCAATCCGCTCCCTCGCCAATTTCAAAATCGGCGTAACAGTAACCAACTCCGCGACCAAGCTATCATTGACATTCGTCGGTCCATTCTTATGTTGCACCGCCGCCGCCTCCAGCGAATAAAGTTGATCAATAAGCGACGAAATCCTTGGTTTCTCATCCTCCGTAAGACCGATGAGACATAAATAGGTCGTTGAAATAATGACTTTCCTCAGCGGTGGATTCATGATCTTGTAACAGCTTATCAGGGAATCGAGGAAGTCGCTTCCTGCAAGGAAGAAAGCTGATGCGTCTGGGGAGGCGTGGAGAAGTTGATTTACTTTTTTGAGATGTGCTTCGGCTTTTTTGAGGTTTCCTTTCAGTCCACCTTCTAGTTCTTTGATGAGTGAGATTTTGAGGGTGTTTAGTGAGGATTCTAGAGCGTCGGAGTGCTTTTTGAAGACCATCGTGATGATTTTCGCTCCTTGTTTTCGGCCGTAGACTTTGCAGAGGTCCGCGAGGAATTGCCATCGTAATAAGTGTTCCGAAGGAGGAGTGGCATCTAGAAGTTTGTAGGATAAAAGAAATGTCTGTTTCCGTAAGAGATGTGATTTTGATCCCTCAACCGAAGGTGTGTTTTCATTAGTCGTAGCCGTTTCTGTGATATAAGAAGCGAGAAAGGCTGAGAGGGATTCATCCTTGAGTGAGAATCGTTTGAAATCCGATGGCGAGAATGAGAGGTGTGCATCCGCAATACTGATCCATGCATCCAGACAGGCTTCCCATTCCTGGGGAACGATGTTACTTCTCCATGCTGCCTCTGGGAAGGGAGCTAGTGGCGGGAGAGGTCCGGGTTTGGTCGCCATATCGAGTGATGACTATCATGTATGTATGGAGTAGAAACTTGAAATGCAAAGAATTCCGCTCAGAAATGCAACGAAAAAAGAAGGAAGTGGACACGAAGAAAGAGAGTGAATTTTTATAGTAAACTCGCATCAAATCTCCAAACCTGCCTCAGTCTCAGAATGAGTGTATTCGACTCACGTCGGCATTCGCTCAAAACCATCCATCAATGGGCTCGCGGGGCTATGTACGAGGCTTACAAAAGTGGTAGGTCTCACCAACCAATCAACATCCACCCGCCTCGCTTCCGTCCTCACGCCAAGAGTTCTCCCCACAGAAGCCAAATCTCAAAAAAACCCGTCCCGCTTGACCTTCCCTTCCCTTCTCCATCGCAATCAAATTCCACGATCACCTTCATCACTTTGCCGTAACTGAAAAATCGTTCGAGTCGTGAAGGATTCCATCCAAAAAAACACAACACATATACAAGATGTCCTACAACAAGCCAGAAAAGGGAGAGTTCGGCGAGGGCCCAGTACGCATTCCTTGCCCCAAATTTCCCCACCACCACAAAATACTTTTGCGCATTCACATCCACGACATCGAAGAATAGAGACTGATAGATATTTTACCACAGAAAACCCACAAGATCCGAATCACCCTCACCTCCCGAAAGGTCGACTCCCTCGAGAAGGTCTGCCAGGAGCTCATCGAGCGCGCCAAGTCCAAGGACCTTCGCGTCAAGGGCCCAGTCCGTCTCCCAACCAAGACCCTCAAGGTCACCACCCGAAAGACCCCCTGCGGAGAAGGTTCCAAGACCTGGGATACCTTTGAGATGAGAATCCACAAGCGATTGATTGAGTATGTCAAGATTCATGGTTCATTTACATGCGCGGAATATGCTGACCGTTTTCCCAGTCTCAACGCTCCTACCGAAGTCGTCAAGCAAATCATCATCAACATCGAGGCCGGTGTTGAGGTTGAGGTCACCATTGCTGCGTAAATGTAACATCTGGAGGACATTGGAACAGTGGATAGACAAAAACAAATTACATCAGTCTACTGCGCTTTTCACGTTTCCATGGAAGCTTCTCAATACAGAAATCGCTTGAGCATTGAGCTATGAAGTTGTGACAGTCCCTAGAAACCATCTCGAAAGTATATACAACGTGCGCTCTGTAGTATTGTCAATTGACATGCCACCAGGAAAGTTCCTGCAACCCCTTTGAAGATGCCACTACCCTACACAAAACATTATCCCCGCTGGTATAAACTGTTGTGAAGACCTCTCCCGTAAGTCTGTCATGAAAACAAAAAAGCTAACATAATATTACATCACCTGTACGTTCGCAGAACGATCAACACGTTGTCGAGGTCGCCCTCTGATAGGACTTTCATCACTAGAACTATCGGGTTTGTCTTGGGACTTCCTGGGTTGAAATGGTTTCCACTCCTTCAGAGCCTGTCTGATCGAATTCATTGAAGTCTTTGTGGAACTTTGTGAACATTTGGATTCATTTGTAGGAGTATCAGGCAAGGAGTCCGGGCCAACGTAAGTCGCATGGCTCCGAGTACTTCCCTGGCGTTTTTTCTTCCAGGTCTGCGGCATAGGCACATTTCTGAGCCATTCTGATACTCTTCTTGGTTGGTCGCAAGCTTTGATGCCCACATCTTCCTGTTCCGACTTCTCATCATCGGGTTTGATAATATCGTTGATGTCTACGAGATCTCCGGTTATAGCATCCCGACGAGTTTTGTTTGCTCCGCGTGGTGGCTCTGCGGCTTTACTATGGTATCGTTCCAGAGAGTTACCCTGCGAAGCGATTGGATTTGGATTCGGAACCGTCAATGGCTCTTCACTAGGGTGATCCGAACCAAAAGATAGTCTCGATGAAGGTAGACGCAGACTAGGCATACGGGACGGCCCAGGAATACATGGTGACGCAGTATTGCTTTCCAATCTGGCGGGTGGAGGGATGTTCTCTTCAGTAAGCCCCACAGGAGTCTCTTCATGATGCTCGTGTACCGTCGGAAGTTTGTTCATCATCTCTTCCCGCTTGGCTTTATCCGCTGCTCTTTCCGCCATGTAATCTTGGGGTTCTTCGTTGCGGTCAAGATCCTCAATGAATCGAGTGTCGATAGGCTCATGATCCACAAGACCTCCCACAGAGATAGCTGGCGCGCCAGTCTTTGCAGATTCTGCGCTCTGTTTGACATTTCCAAAATCATCAATATCTCTGAAGGCAACGCCATCAAGAGTGGGAAGATTAAATGAAAACTTCCTCTTTTTCAAGTGAGCATCCACATCTTCGATCCATTCTTGTTTTTGCTTTCGGTGATAAGGCTCATCCACCAGGGTATTGGCAAAAGAATTCTCATACACCGCTACCGTGCTCGAAGTCCTCGTTCTATCAACTCCTTTGCCCCTGTCTTTTGCTGGTAGATAGGGCACAAACGCAGTTCCACTTAGTGCTGGCATAACTTTGTCCTTCAGCGTCACTAGAATCTTGCGACTCCAGTATATGGCCCCATTTTTCGTATCTTTCGTATTGCTGGAATCGGGAGGCAAGTCTTCATCAGAAACTGGATCTGGGGGAGGTACATGGGAATCCTTCACCAAATAAGGTGTTTCGGTTTGGAACTTCTCGTATGTGATGGCTAGTGCATGTTGGCGAGGTGGAAGATGATCCATAGAGCTGCTGCTCCTGCTGCTGTTTTGGCTATTTGTTCCAGCTGTACATTCCTTAAGGCACATGCAGTGGATTTCCTGTTGGAGTGGACATGTTTTCTCATGACAGTAGACGTATTCGTGGGAATGCGGTGATCTTTGGCGGGAAGAAAGTTTTGAGAGTGGTGATGGGGTGGTGAGGGGAGAGATTGTGACGGGGGGTGGTTGGGAGGCGGACGGGGAAAGTGTTCCACCTGGTGAGCCGCCTTCCATGGTTCCTAATGGAGAATGTGTGAGTCTTTTCATCTCATAGTTCTCGCGCCGAAGAGAGATGACTTACGTATGCCTCTTTGGATGTGAGCATGCACTGGTGGTGTATCGAATGTTGGTACGAGTCGATTGTGATATCCAGAAATGAGTGGTGATGGCTTTGGGTGATATCAATGATGTTGTGCTTTGAGAAAGCAATGTGAGATGATGTTAAATTGACAAGAGAGAGGATCTCGAGAACATTGCTTGTGAGGGACGAAGCCGGGAGAGCATTGGAGGAGGAAGGAGCGAGCCAGGTTGAACCAAATGTATTTTCGAGAAGTTGTGGAAGGTACTGATCGTAGTAATGACTTGAATCCTCCTGGCTCTTATTGGCTGCGCCTGCCATCATAAACAGATCGTGTACTCCAATCGCTTCCACTCGCCTGGCCCCGCAGAAGGGTGCCTGGATATCGCGATGATTGGAGTAGCTACATCTCCCGAAAAAGGCACGCCGATTTCACATCCTTCAATACCTTAAATAATATGGGTCGTTGAAAAAGACCCACCTCCACCTCGAAACGAATCTACGCCTACAGAATCACCAGAGAAGTGCTCTGTTTCTAACACAACACCGATCTCGCGGAATGGTATTGCTTTCTTCTAGATCAGACCCCGGATCTTTGGTGGCGGACGATACTAAGTTGTCTCATCGTATAATCACCGACAAAATCATATCTTCTAGGAGCTTGCTAAGACTCGGGTTTTCGTTGCCTTATCTTGGTCTTGGTTTCCTTTAATATATACATCGCTTGGATCTTCTCTGTACAAAAAACGTGTTAAGAACCTTACTGTAGTGCTCTTATCTCGGTGACACTCTCAATAAATTAAAGGGTATTTTAGTTAATTACTGTAAATTAAAGAATCTTAGTTAAGTGAAGATAATTATATTTAGTATTTAAATTAAATATGTTAGAATAAGTTAGTTATTATATAGTTTTATAGTTTATTTTTTAATTTCTGCTATTAGATAGCTTAATAGAGTATGTTTTAGCTTTATACTTAATTATTTGGCCTTGGGGTTAGGGTTAAGAAGTAGAAAAGTAGTATAATACCCTAGAACTATGTATTAAGCTAAAAGTACTACAAAGATTCTCCTAACATCCGCTAAATCGTCTCCAGAGTATACGCTAGTAAATATTGTCATAAGCCTCATACAGGGAAGCAGAACGCTAAGTAATATAGTCCCTCATTTTGAGGCACGATACTGTTGATTTCCGACTCCTCATCCCTCGTTTTCTCCCTTCCTGATGAACAAGAATCCCATTCCTGTAAACACGGGAGCAAATATCATAACAGAAAGTATTTGTCCAAAACTCCATCGATCGTCAACATAAACATTTTTCGTATTCCCTGCCAAGACCCTCTGAATGCCCCTCAGTCTCAAGACACCCCATAATTGCGGAATGGTAAGGAGAGAAATGACAAAACACCAGACGAATGTCAAGGACACTGAGAATTTGTTCCTCCTCAGCATAGAAGTGCTTTGGAGTTGTGCTTTCTTGAAGTATGAAGGGAAAAGTCCGATAGCAATATACCAGAGTAAACGTACGAGTCCGTAGATTACGACGAGTAGAGAGCCAGCAGCTCCAAAAACGGATGAGAAGTTTTGCTCTCTGGTACTTAAGATATCAGCACCTGACAAACAGGTGATGTTTAGCTTGTCCCATTCCCCGTTTGAAACGATTGTTGTTCCCAACGCAGCAGCTTCTTCTCCTATCTGACTTGGTGCGAAATCGCCCATCATTCGGGAAACAAAAGTATAGAAGAAGAGAACCCAACAACAACAGATTAGGAAGAACCGGTATCCGGATTTGGCTGCGTCAATTGAATCTATGGTGTTGAGGGTATTCAATAACGGTAACATGCTCAGCAAGGCAATGGCCCAAGTAATTTGTGTAGTGAACCCACCAAGTTCATTAACACTGATCCCAAAGCCGCGACGGATGAGTTCGATTGCACATGCGATCTGTATGCTTATAGTGAAGAAGACTGCTGAATGAAAGAAGACACTACAGCCTTCTTCCAGAAGGGGTCTAAATGTTGTTGAGAACTTAGGTGATAATAGCCGAGGTGTAGCAAGACCAAGTGCAAAGAACAAGCCCAAAATAAATTCACAGAAGTATTCTAGTATCATCTATCACCAGTCAGTAATCATCCTAATGACTAGTAGAGAAATTCGGAAGCCGACCCCAATGCCTGAAATATCCGCATTTCCTACTCCCCAGAGCGCACTATAGATCTCGCTGCGACATGATTGTAACAACGTCTCGTTATAATTGGTGTAGAAATATATTTTTTGAACATAATCCGCAAAGATCTCCGGAGAGGCTAGAGCTGAGCAATCTGTAAAAGTGATCTGGTCATTCATTTTGATGCAGTCAAAAAAAGACCAAATCGGGGGGCTTTGAGCTGGCTCATATCGAGAAACACTCAGCCGACTGTCAGAAGTCAGCTTGCTGGTTGTAGCCTTAGTGCGACTCGTTCAAGGGGTGCGACTTATTAAGTGGTAGTAGGATTGACGCACTATAGGGGCCGTGAAGTTCAGTATCACCACACTGACACGAAAAGTATCTGATAGGCAGACTTGAATGTATGCAATTGTGGGGGCCAAATTGAGTCGTCAGCTAAAAGCGTCCCCTGCCCATCCAAATCAACAATATCCACTACTTTCACTCCTTCGTTCTTGAACTATGGCGAAAGCTAGGCTTAATTGTTTGATATTCTTTCGCATCATCATTCCCCAATACATTACCCTGAGTGTTGCCCAAACAACTGCAGCTCCTTATAAACTGGAAATTACAACAAGGCCAGCAGCAAGACAAACTATCACTTCTCTCGACCTAGATCTAATTGGAAGACGTGCATGTGATCACTCCACAAATGCAGTCAAGAATTGTTCATTAGCAACCTCAAACTTTTTGACGTTGCCATCAAGTGTGCAAGGCTCATGTCTTTGTTCCATTACTATCCAAAATGTCCCCAGTACCATTGGCTTCGACGAAGCAGCCTCGATATGCTCCAGTTATAAGCTCACCGCAGAACCAAAATCAAGCCCAACTGGCAGGTTTGTTGGCTTTTGCAGCTCGTTTGTCTCGACAACTATGACTTTACAAGTATTTAGTGGTGGGACTACAGTCGTGTCTAGTCGACCAACAGGCACCACTGCGCTCAATGGCAATGTTTCAACAATCCCAGGTAGTGGTACCTACCCTATAACAGGGAAAATGATGCAAAGTAAGTTCTTACTTTTCCGCTCTCACAAATAAGCTAATCAACATTTAGGCTTTACCACAGCTCAGATTGCCGGAGTGTCTGCTGGATGTGGGAGTGTAGGAGTACTCGTTGGCTTAGCGTGAGTTTTGAAGCAAGATGTGTACGTTAGCTATAGATTCCATGTCTAACATACTTTACAGTATTTTTGCTGGGCATCGACGAAGAAAGCACAAACAGAAACAACTTGTGGAAGAAAAGATTTCAAATTCGCCCAATAGAGAATAAACAAGCTAAGTTTTATAGGTAACACTTTTGGCAGAACTACCATTTTTAGATATATGTTACTTAGCAAAAAGTCTTTGAGTTCTAATTTTATTACTTCTTTTTATCTATGTCAAGTATATAACAATACTGCCTACATAAGAGTAGAGTTGTTAATTCAGATCTAATTATTATAAATTACGATTAATTAGTAAATTAGGCGTTTAGAGGAAAATAAATTAGGTTTAATTGTTCTACGTTACGTGATTATATAAGCGGCGTCTAGCGGCTCCCTATAGTGCTATCTCTATATATTCCTATACTACCTAAGGTTAGTCGCGGTCTTATTTAGATAGAAGAGAAAGACGGTAACAATAAGTAAAATCTAACTAAACTTGAGTAATTATAAGGAACACTTACTATATAAGTAGTTCTATAAATTAATAAGTACTTATTTATATGTATTTTTATTCGTCTTTCTAGTGAAAATACTCTACCTTTAGTCCTTTTATATACCTTATTTTATATGCTAAGATCTAAATTTAGAGGCTAATTCTTGAATTAGGCTAATTTATACGGGTTTAATTATTTATAAGTTATCTAAATTTAGATTTAATAACCCTACATAAGAGGGCCGGTCATTACTCTGTACACACCTGAGTTACAAAAATATTATCCTAAAGACCTCATATAATCAAAACATTTACAACGTTTTAGAATAATTGTTACTTTTCACTTCTTTTTATATTCACGTTCGTCCTGCTCACAGGTAAAGGGGGCACATATATAGGACCAGCACCTAGGGTTTAGAGAGCCCCAGGGTGCTATACGCTCTTTCTATTCCTATTCCTAAAAACAGAAACAAAAAGGCTGGCTATAATAGTCGTTTAGTAGTACAAATGGTAGTGTATAAATGGGGGTGGTAGTAGGCGAGAAAAAGAGAGAGCCCTAGGGCTCGTATGTATCCTGCTCTCGGGCAGGGAATATGAAGTTGTTGAATGTTCCTCCTCCCGCCGCTAGCTCTTGTAGGTCGGTAGTCCTCACGTGATATAAAAACGTCCCCTATTAACCTAGGGGAAACAGAACAATTGAGTTGTGCCAGACTTTTAGTACTTTTGATAACGTGTACAGAGTAATGACCAGGTGTCTTCAAGTAGAAGCATAAATTTCTGGATTCCCAAGCTTTGATACGCTTCTCTTTCTTTACATGAATCAAATATCTTATCTTAAAAATGCAAGTGATATACAAGAACTTACGCCAACATATCCCTGAAAATCAGCAACTACCAGAAATATTGGTGTATATTTAAGCATTAAATTATCATAAGGCTCTAAGATACTCAAGAACTCCAAGACTCCGTGCTCCAGGTACACAAATAACAATACATAAACACCTAATTAATCCAAGCCCAGAACTTTCCCCAAATCGTAGTAGGAATCTCAATACTCCAAGTAGTATCATCATGAATCAAGCAACCTGTATCAATATCCGCCACATAACTCCTCACGCGACTCGTCTTCATAAGAACTTTATGTCCGACAAATAGCACCACAAACAGTATCAAACTGATATAAGCGATGAAGAAATTTTCTGTGCTCCAAGGAATGAAAGCTGTAAATCCTTGGGTGAAAAGAATGAGAACATTGAAGAATAAACCGTAGTAGGAGAAGAATGGTTGCCACATTGATTCGTAAGGCAATGTGTTGCGAGGAACACCCTGAGCGGAGAGTGCCCGCATGAACATGATGTGACTGAGATTTATACACGCCCAAGTTATGAATCCGGCTACGCCAGAGATGTTGATGAACCAGTTGAAGACTACTGCTCCGCTGTTGGAGAGATTAAGAAGGGCGAGAAGTCCGAATGCTGCGGTGCAGGCTACTGCTGCATACGGGACACCTTTCTTGGATGTACGTCTTAGAAATTTAGGCGCGGATCCATCGTTGACAAGCCCAACAAGAATACGACTCCCCGAGTAGACGTTGGAATTTGCAGCGGATAAAACAACGAAGAGTAGGACGGCGTTGATGAGTCCTGGGAGGCTTTTCACCCCGGCGAGTTTGGCTGCTATGACAAAAGGCGAAGACGAGGCATCAGATCCACCAGAGAGTAGATCTGGGTTGTCGTATGGAACTAAGAGGCCAATGAAGAAGATGCTGAAGACGAAAAAGAATAGAATTCGAACAAAAGTCTTTTTGATTGCCGCCGGGACATTTTTGCGCGGGTTTTCTGTCTCCCCAGCTGCGATACCGACGAGTTCGGTTCCTTGATATGAAAACCCTGCTTGAATCAGAACGGCCCAAAACCCGACGAATTTGGCGAGTTTGTCGTTTCCCTCAATCAGATATGGAGCAAAAGCACCCGGGGTTTCCCAAGTCTCAAATCCGAGATAACCATTTTGCCCGGCTCCAGCGTCGATACAGATTCCAAAGATGAGAAATCCAATGACTGTGAGGACTTTGATCATAGAAAACCAAAATTCCGTTTCTCCGTAGAAACTGACCGGGAGGAAATTGAGGGCGGTAATAACGACCCAGAAAACAGCAATGAAAATAGCAATCGATAAATCCTTATTCCAATACTGAATGATCAATCCCGTAGCTGTAAGCTCGAGGGCGTACGTCATGGCCCAAGAAAACCAGTAAATCCAGCCCATAGCAAAGCCCAAACTAGGGTCGACGAATCTTGTAGCATAAGATGTGAAAGCTCCGGAAATGGGAATATATGTTGCCATTTCACCGATTGATTGCATTACAGAGTAGACAATAGTTCCTACAAATATGTATGCAATAAGAGCCCCAGCTGGTCCAGATTTTGCGATTGCACCTCCGGATCCAATGAACAAACCAGTGCCAATAGTACCACCTTTGACTGTTTAGCCAGAACTTTTCGGAGATGCAGAGAAATACAAACCTATGGCAATCATTTGTAAATGTCGACTCTTGAGTTTTCTTTTGAGTACAGGTGTTCCCGAGATCACCTGCCGCTCAACATCCTCATTAGAACCCAAACTTCCCTTCTTTCCCCCATCAGGGCTAGGGTTGATAGCATCATCCGATTGGGACATGGTAAATTATATCGCTGACAGAAACGAAGTGAAAACAATATGAACATAAGCCTTCAAAGGAAACTTTCCTCGAGGAAGATATAGGAATGGGAGGAAAGAAAATATTTCTGAAAAGGTCACGGTTGGTGGAGAGAGAGGTGGGTCTAGCAAGATGAGTTACACATAAAAACCGGGTATACTACCTGGGTAGCGTAGTACTACGTAGAAGATTTCGCTCTAGCCCACGAAAAGACCGCGGTTGGGACAGTCCCAGAGACGGCTATCGGAGGCATTAGAATCAACCGAGATGTTTGTTTGGGGGACATTATATGGGCCATGTCTCGATCGTCTCATACAGGGAATTGTGGATGGGAATTTGAGGCGACAATGATGGTGTTGTGTTGGGTGGCGTGCTGCACAAATTTCTCGATGTTCGGTGGAGCCTCGGAAGCGGCCGGATGAAAAGCGGGCTCGTTACCAAAACCATGGTTTTTCGAACACTTCCTCACACGTTTTGCTTGTTCTTCCACTGTATATCAAAAGATGTTATATCGCCATCTTTCTTAATTAGTGGAGCTGATGAAGTTTCATTCGCATTTTCGCAAGGTGAGTTTCTAGACCGTCTTCCAGTCATCAGGGATCCCACTTGTGTATCCCTTGCCTAAGCGAAAAGCTTGGTTCAACATCTAATACTCTGAGATACTGTAGGCAGATAGCAGATGTAACAAAACAATTATGTCTCAAAAGAATGGCCTCTTTTGCTCTGTTCGTTGTTACTTCAGCCAGGTATACGTGGGGACGGAACCCGAGAAAAAAAGAACTTTTATTATTTAATTTGGGGATATCAAATGCCTTCTCGCTGATAGTGAAACGCTGTCTAGAAAAACAGCGCACAGAAAAGCTTCTGTATTCTTTCCGACACTCTACGCTGGGTATGCTTTTGTGGACCTAAAATGAGAGAGGTGGGGTCCCACGCCGTTTATGCTCCTTTAAAAGAGAACAGATAAGCTTTAGACGTCCAAGTACACAAACTGGCCCCAAGTGTATCGACCTACTCTCGAGTACACCATAAACCTTTAAGCGTTTGGTCCGGATTTGCAGGTTCGCCAAAAAGTCACCATCAACTCCATCACGGAACCGATGGGTCTGTTGAAATTAATCATCTGCTGCTTGATCTCTGCAAGCATCACTTCTTCTTGTTTTTGCCTTTGCCCTTCTGTACAGGCTGAGCATGGTTATATTCTTTGATGTGGTTAAAAAGCTTGGTTTTCGACGCAAATGAGTCACTACAAGCTGCACACTTGAACTATTGATTATAAGTATCTCTAAGTCTCGGAATCCAGGCGGGGGCACTTACTTCTAAGTCTTCCTGTGCTTGTAGAGCCTCCTTTGCGGCTCTCTTTGCTCTCTTCTCTTTTGCCTTTCCAAGTTTTGGTGTGCTAGTGCCTCCCTCACTGGTTGCCTTTTTCTTTCCTTTTTTGGAGTTGGAAGTTTCGGTAAGGCCATCTAGTCTTTCCTCAACAGCCTCTCTCGGTGCGTACTCGTCATCAACTTCAGAAGAACCAGAAGGCGAGTCAGCTTTGCCTTGGCCATCGACGACTTCGGAAGGTACATCATCTGATTCCACTGGATCCCCTTTGGCTTTAACCTGCTCAGCTTTATCGTCTGGGTCGTCAACATCATCTGCACTGACAGTTGAAGCTTTGGTATCACCCTCATCGTTCCCCGAATCGAGCTCCAAGTCCTCAAGATCTGAAACGGGATTGGATTGAGTACTAGAAAGTGTGTCGAGTCCTAAACGCTTGTTTTCTTTCTTCATTTCGCGCTGTATCTGTTGCACAGCTTTGACATGTTTCTTGCTTTTCTCGTGAGTTTCATACTGCTTCTCACTTTTGAAAACCTTGTTACAAACAACGCATTCAATGTGCTCCACTTCAGATTCATCGGATTCTGACTCTGTGAACACGTCTTCGTTGGAGTCCTTGGGTTGAGCCCAACTGGGAATAACATGCTCTTCAAATTTGGCAAGGTTTGCTGCACGAGACTGAGCAGCTTGAGCAGCAACCGCATCTCTCAAAATCTTCTGGCGGTCCTCTTCGGATTGCGAATTGGGTATGTATCTTGGATCGCGCTTGCGCACAAAAGCGACGAGGGATCTGACAGCATCTTCAAATTCTCGAATAGCTTCATTTCTGAATCTCTGGTTCTCCTTCTCGATAAATCTCCGCGTGGCTCTATCAGGGGCATCAGAGGTTCTGTAAACATCTTTCCACGAGAAAGTCTTGGCTGTTGAAAATCCCATCCAAACACGATAGAATTGTTTGGCACTTTGTTCGTAACTGTCTGAAGCCTTTCCGAAATCTGGATAGTCTCTTATTTCTTTCCCTTCCCATTCGCATGCAGACCGTTCCTCAACGGCCAAAGTGGCAAAGGTTTCACGGAGAATACCATAAAAGCCGTCTGAAGCATCTGTGAAGGGCACTCTGCTGTTAAATTTGGAAATCAAGATTATGATATCACCAGCACTGGTCAAGCGAATATTATGCTCAAAATGGTCGTCCTCGCCACCAGTATCTCCCCGTAAAATGGAGTCACGGTGCGAGTCATACCAAGCACGCTCTTGGGGATCAGAAAGCACTTCGTTGGCCGATTGGACTTCGGCAAATTTGATTGTGGCATTTTCGGCGTCCCCGTAGTTGCGATCTGGATGAAGTTCCAATGCTTTTCTTCGGTACGCCTTTTTGATTCTGGACGTTGAATTAGTGAAGGCTGGATATGGATTATCGGAGATCAGGATGCCCACTCATCGTCCGTTGCATGACGGTCCACCCCCAGAACCTCATAATAACATCTTTTGACTGGAGTAGAGTTACGGGACTGGGAGCCAGTGCCACCGCCGGAGGAAGACTGCTGAGCACCCATGACCGATGCTGTGCTTTAGCAAGTTGTAAATTTTAGTTGTGGTGAAGCGATCACGCGTGATATATCTGCCACTACGAGTATGTGTATTAATCAGTTAGACTCATTAATAATGTGGCGCTGCAAAGACTCAAGGCTAAGGCTGGCATTTTTTGGTGGTGTTTATGAGTCGATATGACACATTTGTGTGGCTGCCCTGCGGCAATACCCAACGGCCCAGGGAAAAAAATCGGATTCGGTAAATTGTCGGAACTAGCCGGGCCGAGGCTAGGGCCGATGTCGGGGGAGTTGAACTTCAGCCGAAGGTCAATGGCAATGGAAGGCTCTTTCAACTTCCAATTCCAACGACATTCACCAATTGAACATAACTTTGTTACCAGAAATGGGACGTCTGACGGGTGCGAGGAACATAGGGCAATTTTGGAGTTGCAGGATTGTAGGAATGAGCAAGCATTGGAGTACAGCTCTCCCACTCCCGTTGCACGCAACACTAAAACCCCTGCTATCACTCTACTACTGTACCTCAATCCGGAGACTGAAAGGAATCACGAGGCAGCCGCCACCCATCGAAGTCATTCTCTACCAGCAAAAACGTTTGGATAACCCGAAGCATCGGCATTATATTATGGTTACCTGACACTTATACAGTTATACTTACACCTCCAGATATTTAACAGAGGCCTACAAGTACTGGTACATTCTTTTCCACCAGTCACCTACCTACCGGTTTCTGCCCTCGAAGAAACTTTCCGTTAGTACGACACAGTTACAGGTCAACCCTTCCCCTCAAGGATTCGGAACACGTGCTCCTACCGCTTACCTGCCCGATCTCCAATACCTAGAACCTGGGCGTTACTTTGAAATGAAGTTTGCTCATGAGTTCAAGGCTGCCTTGATCCAAGAAGGGTATCCCCCGCACTGGGTTGATTCGGCTATTCCATATGGCCAGCTCAAGAAACTCATCAAAAAAGTCACCCTAGAGCTGAAGAGTTTGGGCCTCGACCCAGAGGTCCTCGCTCAGTTGGTTTCCGAAGTAGACCCCAGTTCTCCCATATCCAGTAACTCGAATGGCGTCGCTTTTCTGTATGATTTTGACGATACGGGTACGTAGCAGATGTGGGATCCTCAACTTCAATCAGTTCTGACCGTAATTTATATAGGCGACAAAACTCCTTTCCAGCCAAAACTGACACTTTTACTTCGAGATGGACTTGCTATAGACGCTACACTATCTCCTGACACAAGGATCTATCTGAAAAATCTGGTTTCGAGGCAGCGAGGCATTAAAGGTGCAGCGAATGGCGCCGACCCTCCAAATGAAGTAGATTCAGAAGACGAGTAAGTCATTGGATTCCCTTTTTATCACAAGGAATCTGGTATTTGGGGTTGTATTCTAAACAATAGGCCCTGTTGTTTTTTTTATACCTAGTCATGCACCCTGATTTTGTCTAACAGGTTCTTGACTGGCTGAGAGTAGACTCCAACCTCTTCAAGCCAATGTCATGTATCTTACTATGCGTAGACATACTTTTTGTTTGCGATGAAACATATGACATTGCTGACTTATATGACAGAATTGTAACAAATTCGCCAACTTCAACCATACCTGGCGAGAAGCCAATTATACAGAGGATTGAGGTTCCGTTGACTTTCGATGCCGAATTTTTCCAAAAACTGCAAGATGAGGTTGAAATCCTTGAGAGCCTTCAAGTCGGAGAACAAAAGGCACTAGTTGGGGAAATTTCTGCTTTATCGAATGACATGACAGCATTGGCAAAACCTTCTAGGTTCAGGAAAACGGATCTGTACAGATGGAGGGAGCTTTTCGAGATATATCTTCAGGCTATGGTATTCTTCTCCACGCATGAACTGGACCATGGGAGTAGAAATAGTGGCTCTGCTGCTAAGCAACTTCAATGGTTCCAAAGCGAGATTATGCGCAGGGGAATCATATCATCATTCAAATTACCAGCCAGTCGCCAAGCTTTCGAAAGATTCGTCAACATAAACATAACGCTTTTACGGAATCTAAAGTTTCAAGAGATCAACCAAACGGCAATCAGCAAAATACTCAAAAGTAATGTCCTTCCCCTTGCTTTAACCTCAAGTAACTAACATCTGTTTTCCAAAAGAGTTCGACAAGAGAACCCACTTGGGTGCACAATCAAAATTTCCCAAGCTCATCGGGTCGGCAATCACGATGTCAGAGGATATGGCAAAAGCAGTCTGTTCCCAGCTTTCCCAAGAGTTGATAAAGAAGGTACCTCAGTTGGATGATTACATGTGTCCAATATGCTTTACCATCGCCTGGAGGCCAGTTCGCATGGCTTGTAAACATATCCTCTGTATTAGTTGTGCTGTAACTTTGCAACGAAAGAGACAGAGATTCTGCCCTCTGTGTCGAGGAGATGTCATTTTGAAGGCGGATGCTGGTTAGTGCTTTTCTCAATTTCCTTCTTTTTGGCGCAAGGTTGCTGACTGAATAGATAATATCGACTCCGAGGTTGAAAATTTCATCGAGAAATATTTTCCAAAGGAGGCACGCGAGAAGCGAATAGCAGTGGAAACTGAACGAGGGAAAGAACAGTTTGGGGAGAGTTACAAACATCCTTCAGAGCAGAGGTGTGTGGTTATGTGAGGTTGCATGAGCGTATTTGCCTTTCAGTCGTTCGTCCAGTCCAGGTGGAATAGGAGCTAGTGCGAAGTGATACCCCAAGATAGAATTTGCTTAGATGGTATAATTCATAGCGCGTACAAAACTAATGGTTTTTCTTTTTTCAGCACTACCATTGACAATTTCGCGCAAGTCCTTAATTTAAACACCTCGCTTGATCTTTTCTGGATAGTTGGAATTAAATACATACTATTCTGTTATTCTAAGGGCATGTTTGGCCACGCAAATCCTTCCTTGCAAATTACCTAGGTAGGTACAAATTAAAAACTTTTGCACTATTCTAGGACCCTAGAGACTAGTACATATCTTTCAGGATTTGTATGCAGCTTATACTAATCTTTGGAAACAAATACACACCTATTTAGCTTGTGTAAAGGTTTTTTTTCTATCGTCACATCTGTTGACATAGGTTGGACGGATTCTCAAGTAGATTTGTATAACAGACAAACAATTAAAGAGTCAAGGCTTCAGGTCTTGTTTATTTTTTTTACTTCAGTATTGCAAGTCTACAAAGGTTTACAATTAGATTTACACCGGATTTATAGCTAAATTACCCTAAAACCTTTGTGGCTATCCAAACAGTACCTAGGTAGGTAGTATGTGTTGCGATTTGTATGCAAATCGTGCAGATTTTAATATCTATGTATATCTTTTTGTATAGTACAAACTCTAAATTTGCGTAGGCAAACATGCCCTCAAGAATTAGATATATTTATTTTCAAGATCCGTCAGAACACCGAACATTGCCTACCTCTTTTTCTCTGAGGCAATGTTTGCCTAACAAAGAAAATACCGTGTTAAGGGTGCGCACTCGGACCGAGAGCTCCGATGCAATCCCTCCGTCATTACCCCATGAATTGAGCAATCGAGTACCATTACTCCGTAGATCAATAACGGCACCAACTACATACCCAGTCATACTCGTATTCACGCCATCATCTCCTTCAAAATGTACTAGTTTTACTGAAAACGGCCCACCCTTCCGATCGGCCTTTAAATGCGAACTTTGCGCCTCCCATTTCTCTTGCGCCAATATCGTCCTTCAAGAATCGCCAATTGCCCCCCACCATAATGCAGCTCATGAACCTCCCCGACGAGTTGCTTGGGTCTATCCTCAGCTACATATCGCCCGATGAAGTTCTTTTCAACGCCCAGCTCGCATGTAAACGATTGCGCGCCGCCTGTGGCGAACCGCTACTATGGAAACACCACTGCCAGACCGACTTCAAGTACTGGGACCCGAAGCATCGCATACAGCAGAAGCTGAGGGGAAACGTCAATGATGTGGATTGGAAAAAGCTGTATGTTTATAGAAGATGGATGGACTTGCAGATCACACAGGTTTTGGATAGCATCCTTGACGGGCAGGTCGATAGGATTAGGAAATACGGGAAAATCGCTGAGTTTGGTTATGATGCGAAGGACACACTGCTTCGACATTGTCGCACAGATGATTCGGCTGAAGATGTGCTTGCGCGCAGGTAAAATTCATGAATATACTTCAATTACATGTCTCTGATTGCTCTCTAGATACTATGCGAACTCGGTTCTCGACCATTTACATCGATCGCAGGCTTTGGCTGTATGGCATGAAGTAATAAATGGGCATTCAGTGTCGTTGGAAAGAGCTTTGGGATCTTTTGATTTATTTGTGTTGGGCGATAAATTCGGGGACCTTTTAGAGGTATGAAACCGGATGCGCATTTGGGTTTTCATGTATTGACGCCCATAGATCTCCCAATTGCTCGACGACTGGGCTGCACGTTTCAAAAAGGAGTGTCCAAATTATCGCGAATTGACCATGAGGAAGAAGGCTCTTCTACTGACGAGATTTGTACGAATGCACAATCTCACTGGATGCGGCTCAGACGAGGCATACAGAGATCTACAGAACTGTTTCATTGGAATCGTATTGCAGGATGACAACCACCCTTCATTACCATTACTAACCGTAGCCATATTCTGCTGTATCGCAACACGACTTGGGATAGATGCCCGACCTTGCGGAGTTCCCCTCCATGTTCACGCCATGGTATTTCCATCCAAGACTGAAACATTGGACGGCCGAGATGTACTCAAAGATGGTACTACTGGGGGGCCCATGTATTTGGATCCATTTCGATCGGACCACGAAGTCGACAAAGAAGATCTTCACAGAATGCTGGGATCATTTGGGGTAGATGCACATGAATATGGCCGATATATTGCGGAGGCGGAACCTACCAATTTAATCCTTCGGACATCAAGAAATATTTTGTCATCAGTGCAGCAGTACAGAGCGTTGCATGGCAATTCCGATGATAACTCACGCTTTGTGCTTTATAGAAATCCATACACCGACACCGAAAACTCTTTCTACGCGGCTCTGTGGGCTAATTTCATTTTTGGAAGACCCTCTTCAGCAATGGATACCTCGAATCAACGGAAGTTCATACCCCTAATCCTAGAGAGATACGAACGTTTATTTCCCATGGACTCTGATTTAGTGGAGCGATATATCTGTCCCTTGTTCACCAGTACATGGAACCAAGAATACCGGGAGTTACAGGAGGCTTTACGGGTAGTCCGCGCGGCTGACTACACGCCAAAACAAGTACGAAGACGAGATAATCAGGCCCTGGAAGGTGTAAAGTATCATGTAGGACAAATCTTTCGTCACCGAAGATATGCTTACGAGGCAGTTATCATCGGATGGGATATCGAATGTGGGATGAACCCGGATTGGATAGCGACTAATGGCGTGGACTGGTTATCTCGGGGTCGACATCAGAGTTTTTACCATGTGCTGTGAGTGTTTTCCCTTCTCCCCTAGAATAGAATTTGGGCTTACTAGTCTGCAGAGTGGAGGATACGAGTATTCGCTATGTAGCTGAGGAGAACATCGAGATCCTGACCTCGAAGACTCCGACATCCCTAATGAGCTTGGCGGGTCGGTATTTCAAGAGATGGGACAGTGGGAGTGCGAGGTTTGTGTCGAATATCAGGGATGAGTATCCACATGATTGAGGGGGTGATGGGATCAAACATCGTTGATTTCTAGCGTAGCTTATTGAATACTACTTTATAATATTTATTTTGTTTTTCTTGGATTGAAAGTGATTGAGCACACTGAGTTTGTATTTTGGGGAAAAGTCTTGATGTCGGTTCTGAGAAACTGGTTCTAGTGGTTGTCAATCCTGGTTTATTTTCCAAATCAATCGACAATTGTGGAATTGGGCAAGATTATAAATACAACTTACTTACCAAATGACACCTAGAAATCATTTCTCTGCTACCATAAAACTAGAAGTCTCAGTAAATCTAGACGGATGAACTCAATATGACCAGGTAGCAAACTAGCAATTCGCTGATTCTACAAGATTTAATACGCTCACTACTTCCCTACCTAATTCTGCGTTCATTTGGCTGATTCTGTGATTGGGAAATAAAAACGGACTAGAAAGATTGAGGGTCCTTCAGAAATCTTCACTCTCTTTACCAGGATTTGTTAATAAGTCCCCATGTTGTTGCCAACATATTCTTCTTTCGGGTTTTAAGCAGAGTGCAGAGTGTGAAGGAAGTCTGTAGGATTCGATATGAAATCAGGGAAACTTCAAGGATTTAAATATCAACGCCAATAGGAACTCCAAGAATAAAGGGATCACACTGGAGTCTATGCAAGTGTATTCTTTGTACAAATCAGACTTGTATTAAATAGATTGAAAAAGAGAGAGTCCAAGAAGCATCTGCTACATCCCTAGTGGATGTAAAGGATATAAAGAGAAAAAAGAATCTAATATCACAGGAGGCTTGCTTGCTAAATTACAGAATCCCAAAGTCTTTCCCGCTTGAACACGGGATCCACCAAATTTGCTATGTAATGTATATCAAGGTTCCGAGACATCGCTGATCCGGCCGTCTGTCTGTTAACTGCCACCTCGGCCCTTTTCCAGATCATGTACGATGTCCTTCAAAACCCCCGCTTCATGAAGAGTCTTGACTGCGTCATACACGACTCCAGTATGATCCTTCATTCGCCTCGCCATCTCCTGGTTCTCGTCCTCGATGCAGAATTTCTCGCTTCTGTAATACCCCCGGATCTGCTTCAGCTCTAGAATGAAATTTTCATAGACACGGATCAGGGACTGGATGTCGAGTCCTGCGTCGTCGATTGCGTCTTCGGCGGATTTTTCCAGACGCGCTTTCAGTAGGTTCTCTTTAGTGAGTCCGTACTCTTCGTCTGGTTCGTTTTTCATTGGTGGGAGGGTAGATGGCGCGGAGATTCTCCAGTTTTCTTCGACTGCATTTAAGCGTTCTTCGCAGGCTATGACGGCTTGCATGCTAGTTGCGATCTGTGAGGGAGGACTGGAAACTGGACTCTTGCACAAGGAGAGAAGATTGAATTGGACGCCATCTTCTTCGTGTTGGGCTATGTGCATTTGCATGCTTTCTCGAGCCACGGAAAGCCAGTTGAAATTTGCCTTTCCTGGTGGATTGTTAGATGGAACTGGCTGGGATTGAATTGAGGGAAATTTACCTAGATTTAATGGCTGTCGCTGTAGGCCGTCGAATCTCCATACTTCATCCTTGATGGGAACGAAAGCAATGAAATGGTAGGCTAGGTCTTCGTTATTTGTTTTCTTTTTCCGACGAGTCGGCGGCGCTTTAGAAGTCTTCTTTCGCTTGGGTGTTTTCGAAGATTTCTCCCATTTCTTGAATTCATTCTCAATCCAGAGATCTGCGTTGAGAACATCCATACGTCTAGACATAATCAATCGTACTGACCTAAAATAGGGAGTGAGTCATAGTTACCTTGCGAAGGAATTATGTATGGTGCGTATAAAGATGTTTTCACTCAGAGACTTTCCTCGGTAGGCAGGCTTCAGCTGCTTGGTCTCATTTTTGAACTCTGTCAGGATTTCACCAAGTTCGATATCTGGAGCATTCATAACAATGTTCATAAGTGCAACTGTGGCACAAGCATTGTTCGTGGTCTGATGGCGATAATGTTAGTTGGGTTGTAATAATCGTACGTTGATAGAACTAACCTGATTTGCAAACCACACGTGCCTTGGGCATTTTCGTGTTTCCCCTGAATCATCGTCCTCATCCTCGTCTCTGTAACGAAAGAGAAAGATGAGGCCATAGACTGGTTGACTACATGTTATATTAGAGATTGAAGATAGAGTTTAAATATAGAATACGCACGGGAGGGCAGCTAGCTCCATATCATCCAGGGAGAAGACTTCCTGAATTTTCACGTCCTTGACTCCATACTCTCTTAGGATATAGTTGAAAATCATCTGCGTTCAGTTAGTCATGACTTGACAAATCTCATTTCTCAGTGGGTTTGTCGTACAGGATCAGATTCAAGCTCAACCCAGCCCTTCCACTCCTGTCGTTCCTCAAAGGTGAGTGGTCTCATACCTTCAGCAATCGAGGCCTCATTATGTTCTTCGTTATAAGTTACCGTCTTTCGTTTTCTTTGAGGCCGCTTCACTGGAGTCTGGGTCTCAACTACTGGTACCATTCTCTTTCTTGGGGACACGGAATCTCTGGCTGAATCATACCCCTCACTCAGGGCGCGCGTGCTAGAGGAAGGTTGGTCTCTGCTGGATCGCCCCATTGAGTGTGGCGAAAAAATATTGGGTGAGGCAATATCCCCGCCTACTTCCTCGCCTACTTCCTCGCCTACTAATACGTTGTCCATCATCACTGTGTCTGCGGTCATGATGAGAAGTGGTTGTGTCGGAATTTTGGAAATGGCTGATGCTGTGATGAAGTTCAATGATTTGTCCAATTGTTGAATGGAGTTAAGGCTGTCAGTGAACTTTGATGTCAGAGGTCTTGGGTGATATTCACCGCCCCAAGATTGTGTGGTGATAGTAAAACTGAAGACTGCAAATTGCAGCCCCACAGCCAGTACTTATAGCTGCGCTATCAAGGCATATCTAGCTTCATAAAGTCTCCCCAAAGAAGCCAAAGAGACACAAACGGAATGGTCCCTTTAGGACAAATGTAACTTTGATGCTTTCAGTTTGCATTGGAACTCATGAATTCATGCAGAGAAAATTAGGTTCGTGTCCCGCCCAAGAAGTTCTGTATATCAAAGAAGGCAGAACAGGCGAGGAACAGTTTTATGTGTCAGAAACAGCTGCGATTCAATCAGTTTAGGTCAGAGACAATGAGAAGGGGGTGGCGACTTACAGATGAGTATGCACGCGGGTTGGATTTTGGGAAGCAAGAGCATAGAGAGCTGAGAGCTCCAGATTGAGGAGGAAAAGCAGCGTGAGATATCGGCATCAAGAGCAAGTGAGAAATGGTCGTTTCAGGGTCAGCAGTGCCAATCCAGCTATTGCCTATGATGTATGACATAAGCGTAGTATTGGATCAATGTGAATCAGAGAAGGCTGAAAGAAATTCATGTGTAGATGATTGACACTGTAAGAGGTGGGCCAACCTTTCCCGTACTGGATGCCGCTTTTCTCTCAGGGACAGGCGAGCAGGGGTCAGAGGTCCAGAGGTCACAGCAACAAAAAGTCAGTCAACCTCAACGCGACGCACGCGAAGCTTATTAGACAGGCATACAAATAGTCAACAACACCACCACTGCCAAATTCCCCACAACTCACATTCACGCCTCCCCACCAAGCTGGATTATCGCCAACTCACGGGCTCCCTAGATTTGGGTATCCCCCAGCATATCTTCAAGTACCGCCCCCTTACGATCCATACCAAAGTGCCTCTTGCGGCTTAGAGCTTGGAGAGCATGCGATTATCATGAACGGCACTCCTCGTCTGCGGTCGGCGTACCCTTCGACCCCGGGAACGGTCAATCGAGGAGGAGGGAGTGGAGGAGGACTTGGTAGCAGCAATGCTAAGAGAAATGGAAGCCCAGGGGCGAGAAGTTCCCCTCGCCCGCTACGAAGTATAGACGAAATCCAAGGCAACCCAGCTCCACCGCCGAGCGAGCCTTTGATTCCTACGAACCTGATCGATGCACCGAGTCAGCGCATGTATGCGCTTGCGGTCTATGGTCTTCTTTTGGTATACCGGCTGTACGACTGGTGGACGTTGGTGGAGGAGGACACACATTCCTGGCTTCTGTTTATGAAGTGGGTGCTGATTGATTTTGGGTTCATTTATGGAATTCCCATGTTGAAAATACCGTGGCTGGAGTGGTCGGATTCGACGAAATTCATGGCGTGCCTTGTCCATGCTTGCATAGATGGTATGCTGATGTTTAGGATACCAGTTAGTTCCTTTCCCATAATCTTTTGGAGATCACTAACCCTCATTTCATAGCTTCCAATCGAAGGATGGCTTCTCTTAATGACCAAAACCCTTTTTGACAGGGAAATGTCTATATCTGAGAATAGCGTCCGCCCGGCAAGCATTCTACACAATGCCTCCTTGATTATGGGTAAACAAATTATTAACATCTTGCCAGAGGGGTATGTTACCTCCATATCGAAGAGCCTGCTCATTCTAACATATTAAGTTCGGTGACCATGAATCCAGATCAACTGCCATTCTGCATCGGTAGTGGCCAACCCGCAGTCAAGATTCCAATGCGATTCAACCAAACAAGGCCTCAGCACATTGAACTCCTGCGGTTCGATTTCTACACGAATACAAACGAGACTATCACACTATCTAGTAAAGAATTGAGGCACCCGGTACATCTGGAGGATGGTGTAAGTTTACTAAATTACGTCGTCAAGAAACCCGGGCTTTATCGGTTGCAAAAGGTTGTTGATAAGACGAAATTGGAGGTCCAGCGAAGGATGTCAGATACCTTGGTTGTGAAATGTCCAAAAGGAAGTGTAAAATCTTCTGCAGCCAATAAATGCCAAGGCGACCTTTCAGATCTGACCATGGAAATCGAAGGAACGCCACCACTAAAGGTCGTATATAGGCGCACTGCCAACTCCGAGCAGAGTATTCATCACTTCCAGAGCATCCAGCCCGAGAACTTTGAATCTCCTCTACTTGGCTCAACACGTTCCAGTACGTTAGTTGTTCACGGCAGTAATGATGTCTCGTGGGGTCAGGCACATCGAATTAGTGTCCCCTTGAACGAGTCTATGATACCAAGTGGACGCTGGCTATACTCGATCGATGAGATACACGATGCAGTAGGAAACGTGGCGAACTTTTCATCTAGCTCTGAAGAGGGAGAGCACAATTATCCCAAGGGTGTCCATCTGGAACAGGAATTTATAGTCCATGATCGCCCGATTGCGCGTTTCACTGGCTGCGATTCCCAGCACCCTTTAAAGGTTGCTAGTGGCAGAGCTGCACCACTTCCGGTACAATATAATCCCCAAGGCCGAGCCCCTGATGACATCTCGCATACCCTTTCATGGAAATTCTCTCCTCTGGATACTCTGACCAAAAATGGGGATCATGGAGAAAAGATTGTGGAGGAGGAGCACCTAGCGAGAACTTTGAATGACCGCCCAAAAATTCGAGTGCCAGGATTGTACACTTTGTCTGGAGTGAAGAGCAAATTCTGCGATGGTGAAGTACAAGAGCCTGCTTCATGTTTGCTCCTTAATCCTCCAGAACCACAGCTATCGATATCTTCGGAAAACATCAACGACAAATGTGCTGGAAAGCCAATTGGGCTGTTGGTTGATCTCGATCTCATCGGTACACCACCTTTCATGGTCACATATGAGATCACAAGCAGGAGTGGAACAGAATCAAAGTCTGTTAGAATCAACGGTCTACGACATCAATTGGAACTTAAACCCAGAGACGCTGGTCATTTCGCATACCACTTCATTTCTATCGATGATGCAGTTTACAAGGGACAATCGTTGGCTGGCAACGAATTGACATTGGAGCAGGATGTCAAGCCACCAGCCTCTGCAGCATTGAGAGTTGCGACCAAAAATATTGATGCATGTATTGAAGAACCAGTACAGATGGACGTTGATCTATTTGGAGAGAAACCTTTCACGCTGGATTGGGAACTTGTTCATCATGGGAAACGTGAGAGATTTAAGCAAAGTAACATTGAAGAGGATACATTCAAGATAGCAACGGCTGCATTGCTTAGTGGCGGTGAATACACCTTAGCGCTTACAAGTGTTCAAGACAAGACAGGGTGCAAGATTTTCTTGAACAATGCTATCAAATTCAATGTTCGACAACAACGACCCAAAGCAGCATTTGGCCAAATCGAAGGCAGGTACAAGACTGTCGAGGTCGAGGGTAAATCAGTCAAAGTACCTCTTCGCCTTTCTGGGCAAGCTCCATGGACCATTACGTACCGAAATGTTAACGATGCTGATGAAAGACATTATACCAAAATTGCTAAATCGACTAACGATTTCATATCCGTTGACAAGAATGGCATCTTCGAACTTCTCGATGTTAGAGATGAGCAATGTCCAGGAACGGTTGAGCGTAAAGCCTCCACCTTTCAGATTGATTGGGTGGCTAGACCACAAATCAGGGTTGCAGATACAGCAGTGCTTGTCCCTGATGGGAATAAATGGCTCAAACGTGAGGTTTGTGAAGGCGACATTGATGCGGTGGAGGTGCATCTTACAGGTAAGCTATTTTGCCATTTTGGAATGTCGGCAGGACTAACTAAATCTTAGGCACGCCACCATACAACGTAAAATACCAAGTACGCCATAAACCCACTCAAGGTTCTGGCTCTATCAGCAACAAGGAATTCGACGCCGCTCTTGGTCTAGCAACAATTTCGATGGAAACAGGCAAGGCCGGAATCTACGAATATAAATTTTCTGATCTTTCCGACGGATTATACGATCATGATTCAAAAAAATTTACCCCTCTTGGTCTGGTGCAGAAAGTCAATGGCAAGCCATCGGCACACTTCGTCAAACCCGGCCAGTCATACAAATATTGCAAGGACGAGATAGATGGAAGCGAGATCATCCCAATACGCTTGGAAGGCGTCCCGCCATTTCAACTTGAAATCGATATCAAACATCAGAGTAGTTCTCGACCCGAGACCGTCAAGATTGCCAATATCGAATCAAACCAGTATAATTTTAGAATGCCGGATGCCGCACGTTCACTCGGCATCCATCAAGTCAGTGTTCGAAAAATTCGAGACTCAAGAGGCTGCCAACAGAAAACAGAATATGGGGCACCTCATGTGCAGGTACAGGTCTATGACGTTCCTTCTCTTTATCCTCGCGACTCGCGTCAAGACTATTGTGTTGGCGAGCGAATCTCATACACTCTTTCTGGATCCGCACCCTTTGAGATCTTCTACACATTCGAAGGCGTGGAAAGAAGAGCGAAATCCCCCACCACGGTCTTCAAACGTATCGCCGAGAAGCCCGGCAACTTTACTATCACCGGCGTCTCAGACAAAGCCAGCGAATGCAAAGCCCGAACCAAAGTCTCCAAATACATCCACCAGATGCCCAGTGTTCGAATCAGCCAGGGCAAACAGGTGGAAGTCGACATCCACGAAGGCGGCGAAGCCGAGATCCTCTTCGAGTTCTGGGGCACCCCACCATTTGAATTTACGTACACACGTAGTACGAATGCGCGAAAGGGCCACAAATCGCAGGTTCTGGAGACCAGACGCGAAGTCTCATATGAGCATAGTAAGACGGTTCAGTCGTCGCAGGAGGGGACTTACGAGGTGGTTGCTATCAAGGATAAATACTGCTCCTTCTCGACGCAGAAGGCGGATGCGGGGACGCGGCAGAAACTTTTGCAATTCTAGTCTAGTTTTTGGTTGGAATACAAGAGTGGAATGGAAAATTTAGGGATATTGTGTATTTGGTCATCTCATAGCGCGGCGTTTGTGAGGGGGGGTTGCCTTTTATTTCTTTTGTGTACTGAACTGATTGTATGGTGTACTGTACGTATATCTGATGTGATGTGCTTCTTCTACGGTTAATGGATGAGGGGAGATGGGACGGGGAACTAAAAATGAAAAATCTTAGATAGATCAGGTGGGGCAATGCCTATGTTTTTTTTTTGATTTCGTTGGAAAAGATCCATATAATTGTGCTCGTATGAAAGCTCTTGACTCAAGTCTTGATACATCTAAATCTTATCAAGCTCATCAAAAATAAACGAGATTTCTTTTCTAGTCAAAAGAGGCTTACTAATCACTCTCCCCTTCTCATCTACGACCTGTGAGGTAAACTTCCAGTGAACCTAAATATAAATTCAACAGCTGTTGCCCTGCACAAGTCAAAAGTCAAAAGCCAGCCAGCATACCCACAATACCCACAATACCCGCAAAAAGTGGCTTCCACCTGAGCAAGGAGCAAGTCATCCATAGATGCAAGCCCATCCCATCCCCTGCACGGCAAACCCCGATACTTCACATGGGTAATTCCCGTTCACGATTCAGTGAAGAAGAAGAAGAAAAATTATTTCATTGGATGGGGAAATCCCATCAATGTATGCTACGCTTGTGATTGGCTACCTATGAAGCAAGAGAGAAGAAAAAAAGATGGAACCCGGACCTCGGCTAGGGGCCCCACCGGGTATGAACATGAGAAGGAACCTGGAAGGAGGAAGAAAAAAAAAACCGAAGAAACGCGACTCCCCACACGAAAGTGACACGAAACGCGTCGGAAGCAAGTGTAAGTGCCGTCTTACCACCCTATCAGAAGCAAATCAATATAATAAAACAAAACGCAAGACTCCTCTTTTCCCAATGAAATGCATGCTCGCCGATCGCAGAAAACAAATAAACAAATGCCTGCCTAGTCCATACAATTCTTTGTTTCGCCGAAAACTCCAAATGTTCCGCGTCCATCCAGTACCGTTTCCAGATTTGCGCTCGGTCCGTAAGATTCCATTGCCTGGTAGCAAGAGAGGGGGACGAGGCTTAGCAGTACTCCTGACCATAGTTTAATTAGAAAAAAAGAGACACAAGAGCTCCTCTTGTCCGACTCGAAGGGCGGAAATATTCTTTTGATGCCCCCAAGTTGGGTCGATCCGTAAATACACCAGTTGAAAAACATTTTACACCGGGTCGTATCATATACACTGTAAATAGAAAGAAAACGTGTACCACACTTCGCACGAATAGTGACTTGAAATGGCAAGGTGATTCATCGCATGAGCTCTCCGCCGAGCTGCATTCCCAGTCCATTATGCTTGGAAGCATTGGAGTTCTGATCACGACCATTAGGACTGGCGGATGAGAAATTCTCAAAGGTGAGGCGGCGTCTTGTCACAGCTAATGGTGTCTTGTTGGTTCTTGGGGTCTTGTTCCAGGGCTTTTGTGCGGGGCTGGGCGTAATGTTGACGAAGTCGCTAAAGTCGAAGGGTTGAGAGGGGGTATTTGGTCCTCCAAAGAGCGACAGAATACCGGATCCACCAGGGGTAGTCATCATGGATGAGGGCAAGGGTGAGTTTTTAGGTGGTGGGGTGGAAGGTGGTTGCATTCGAGATCGATTTGATGGAACAGCAGGAGAAGGTGAAGTTGCGAGGTAAAGTAATAGATCTGCGCCTTCTTCGCCTGATTTGCCATTCTTGTCCTTATTTCGGCGGCCAAGGCTGCTTCGGTTACGCATTGGAGGTGGTGTGGCGGGAGGGGATGAGTTGATGTTAAATGAGTGTGCTGGTAGATTCTCCTCATCGTCAGATATGGCAGCGAAGTTCGTTGAGAAATCATCCCGCATGTGGAAGGATATATTAGGGCCAGAAGAGGTGGTGAAGTGTGTGTGCTTTCGAGGTTTAATGGGGGAAGATTGTGTTAGTTGACGTTGGTCTCTCCATGAGGTATGACTAGAGTTGGAAGGTCTGCCAACAACGGGGGAAGAACGAAGTCTCTTTCTCGAACCCGAACTTGAACTTGGAAGGTCGAAAGTATTGTGATAACTGCGCTTCCGGGGACCATAGCTGCCTCCACTCGCACTTCGAGAACGAACGTCATCTGAAAATAAGGCTGAACTTTTAAGGGGCGAGCTCATAAGGTGTCTGGCGGATGGGTAGCGCAATTCGGAGCCGGTGCTAGAGGAGGAATCTGAGAGTAAATCGCCGCTGGAGGTCGGTCTTCGAAGTCGCAATTCCTCGTCAACTCGGGGTTCGATGGTGTCAAGGGTGAGGTCCTCCCAGCCGCGGTTTGCCTTGTATTGAGCCAGAGCCAGTCTTGTCTTGAGTTTGCGGCCGATCTGCAGCGAAGAAGAGGTTAGCAAGTGCGGTGCGAATCTACTTGGAGTGAGAGAGGTTAGTACCTTGCCCATCTCCGCTCTACGCAGTACTTTGTCCACTACGACCTCGGGCTCCTCTTTTTTCTTGCTTGGAGAAAACATTATTGATTGATGGCCTCCAGTAAATGGTGGTTCGTATTCTAAGTTGAGAGGAGACTAGTAGTATGGGGAACGATGGTCTGGTGGCGAGGCCTCTATCTGGGCAAGAAGGGGTCGGCGTCAAAGGTCGCTCGCTGGTGGAAATTGGGGAGGGCCGGGTTGTGGTTGTGGTTGGGTGTGGTGTGGTTGTCTAGGAGAAGAGTGTGGGGTTCGAGAGTGAAGAAGGCGCTTGTGCGTTTGAATAGGATGTGCAGGCCAGGCCAGGCATCCACCGCAGAATACGGAATTAGTGAATAGCTGCGCTGCTTTCACCACAGTGACTGCTCTTCTTCTGGGTGGAAGTAAACAGTGAATTTACTGTAGAAGGAGGTTGGCATTCCAGAAGGGAGTAGAGAGCAGAGAGCAGCGTAGCCGCTGCGGGAGGAGCGAGCGAGCAATTGGCCTCCCAGCCAATCATGCACAGACTCAACCTCACCCCAGGGAACACCATGTCTATCCGTCGGCTAAGTACAGGTTGGGACCTGCCATCGCCTTGAGATGATTTGCATTTGAGTTACTCGTATGTGAAGTTTCTTCTGTAGCCACTTGATGATCCATCGCTTGCCAGAGAACATCTTGCGCTTGTCGATAGTAACTTGCCACCCTTTGATATATCTGGCGGGCTCCTGTATCGTCTTTTCAAAATAGCCATCCTCGCCAATAGCTCATAAGGCCCCCCCCCTTATCTGGAAATATACGGATTGTGGTGTCCCGAGGATGTGATATGTCCAAAGTCAAAGGGATTAACTCGACCAAGTCTTCCGGGTTGTCATGATTAGTTCATCATCAGTAGCTTCGCTGTCATTCCGCGTCAATTCCCAGAACGGTGTCTACTAGTTGCTAGTCAAAGACGGTTCGGAGCTCCTTGGCGACGGAGACTACTTTAGCAAGAATAAGTCTGCGCCATGGTTCCAGGTACTGTACTCGTACACCTGTGGCATTCTACTGGAAAGAAAAGAGCTTCGACTTGAATCCACTTTGCGGACCGTGTGGAACAATTGACCCCCGACATGGTTTTTACAGGTGTTCGAAAAGCGATGACTGCGCGACATATTACATGAGTACACCAATGACTGACACTTTGAGGGACTCTTTTTCCCATCAATCGCATGATACAACTATATTCACAATTTTGAAGCCTTCTTCCCAAACTAACTGAGACTGTCTCTCGAGTTTTGGCCGGCGTCCGGGTGGCTAATCTCTTGATGTAGCATTGCAGTTAGGCGAGAGATCGTGCTGATGTCAACTTGTACGAAGAACGAACCCAAGTCCCCAACAAGTATGAGCATCTTGACCATTGAATATCTACACTAACATGTATATTCGCTAAGAAGAATACAAGAGATCTGTTGTGACCTCAAAGCCACGTAGAAGGTACAAAATAGATGAAGTGCAGCATTTAGGCATCATGTAATGTATGTGTACAATGTGGGCGGGCTATGGGTGCGGCTGCGGACCAAGGCAAAGAAGAACATGTGGCTAGGTTGCAGAGCAGTCGACCATGAGATAGGATGTTGTGCTTCGACTCTTTGAACCCTACGCCTCTACCTACGCACCGCATTCTATTGTGTATCATCCATCTGTAGGCATCGTATCTAAATTAAGCGGCGACATTGACTGTGTAGCATAGCATCGCATTCTGCAGCAGTCGTACCTCGTTCCAAAACCTACTGGTACAGTATACTTCAAGGTTATCTACAAGCGCATGCAGAGGAGAGGGTACTCGGCCGTACTAGTACTGTACTGAGTACTTGCTCGGCGTTAGGGTCATTCATCAGGTGTTTCTCCTTCCCATCTTGGAAACAGAAACACTAGCTGGCGTTTGTGCACTCCATCAGCATCAGCACTGAATGCACTGCAGCCGTGGGAGAGAACACGGCCCCAGCATCAGCGTCAGCACCTTCGGTCCTTGGACCGCAAAACTCACGCTCACACTCTCGGCGCGGGCGTGCTCTCCAGCGGTTGATACCTGTATTCTTTGGTGTTGACGGAAGTCGTCCCTGCGCTTTCCAGAATTGCCCGGGTGCCGTTCGTTTTATCGCCAATCCTGTCGTCTCCCCTGTCACACTCGTCATCGGCAAGGATCACCCTACAGGCTCCACCTCACTCCACCTTCACCTGGGCATTCAACCACACCTACGCTACGTAAAGTGCGTGCCCGCTTCGTCTTGCCTCCTGTGTGGACTCCTCGTATGTGGACTGTGTGGACAGCAAGAGCTTTCGTCCTCTTGCATTGCTCCTGCCAGCCACATCCATCCTATCAGCTGCTGCTGTTGCTGCGACTGCCGCTGCCTCCAACGGTCAGAGCTTCTTATCGTTTGCCAATTCTGCGTGCCATCCAACTTCCTTTCTTCCTTTCTAACCCTCTACACTACTGTACACCGTACCTTTGCTTCCCTCCCCCTTCTTTGGAACACAACCACACTCGTTTGGACTTTTGGCGAATATTCAATTCCCATTCCCATCCCCACTCCCACTCCCACTCCCACTCCCGCAACCAACTCATCCCAGCATCGATTGACTGGATATCCCGGCCATCAAGCTCCAATCGTCTACGTACGAGTGAGTACAACTACGATTGCAGCTCTACGGTTTTACAGCACTCGAATAGCTGCCATCTAGGAATGCGAGTGCCCATCCCCTTTGTATAATGGCGCCATCATTTCTCAAGGAAATCCGTAGACGCTCCAAATCCAGCTTTAGAACCAACCGAAGTACCGATTCAAGCAATGCTTCCAACAACGAATCCGGTGCTTCGGTTCCCACGACAAAATCTTCTTCGACCTTGAGCTCCGTCTACGGAAGCACAACTCCTCCTGCCTCATCTCTATTGTCCAAATCTCCCTCTGCCGGGAATCTGCAACAACGATTGGGCACTCCTCCACCAATTCCAAATGGTCGCCCAACGGTGTCGACATCTTCGAGTAATCGCTACAGTGTGTCGGGCATGTCTGGTTTGGGCTCCCCGTCTCCTAAGTCCACTCTTCCCACCTCGCCATATGCGCCGCGGATCTTGTCCATCACAGATAACACTTGGGTAGGCTTATTCTCACGAGGCACCTGTAGATGGCGAAGAAGTCACTGATAAGTCACAGGTCTACCAAAAGGTCCTCTCCATTTACGGAACGATAGCAGATCCCTCTACTCAAGCTCTGGAAGGAAATTTGACGGTGAGCCGTCAAGACGATGGCTTCCCTCCAACCTACTGGCCTGTCTCAGATTCCCATTTTAAAGCTTTGGTTTATCTCACACCAGGTCCCAATCGATTGCGATTCGACTTTACTTCCCCCAAACTTGCAAACAGTAACACATCGAACCCCATTCATTCTTCCTACCTCACACTCCATATGCTACCGCCACAATGCTCGCCTCCACTACAACTCGTAATTATGTTAGCCAAGGACTCGCCAGGAACATTTGATGCAGTTCCTGCTCGAATAGAGAGGGAGGGTAATGGTCTTGATACTGCCATCAAGAAATTTAGAATGGCGGCATATCTGTGGCAGGCTTTCACGGCAGAGCAGATGTATCGCAACAAGCTAGGCAGAAGAGTGTTCAGAATGGAAGAGGAATGGGTTACGGGAACCTCAAATCTTCGAGACCGGGAAATGGGTACGATGAGAAGCGAGGCCAAGGTTCACGTTGTTCGTTGTGACAAGACCGTTGCCGAAATCCGAGATCTGGATTTGGCGCAGCAAAATCCCAAAGCCCGGAAGAGTGGAGAGCTGTTTTCTACAGCATCAGAAGCTGTCAAAAACCACTTTCAGTCACTTCCTGGGCAGAAGCAATATGTCTCAGTGCTGATACTAGATTCTCATTGGGACAAGGAAGCTCAAATGATCACAGGTCATGCTGCTCTAGGAGGCGGAGGTGGAGATCTCCAACTGGCCATCTGTGGTTCTCATGCTTTGCAAAGCTATCCTTCTTGTATTGAGGAGGTCGTACCCGCGTTTTCCGACTGCACGCCAACTGATACTGACTACGTTGCCAACGACTGTAACGAATCAGGGAGTAACTGGGAAGCTGCGAACATTGGAATTGGTGCTCACATGCATGAAACCGGCCATCTGTTTGGTTGCCCTCATGCTGAGAGTGGTGTGATGCTTCGTGACTACGTCACCTTGAATCGATCCTTTACTACGCGCGAACCATTCTCGACGAGAACAAAATCGAAGGGTGGCCTCGTGCTGCCCAAAGACGAATGCACATGGCACCGTCTAGATTGCTTGCGCTTCAGAGGACATCCCTGCTTTGCATTGCCAACTGATCCGCCAAGGGCAACTGACGACTCGGTTCAGGTATGGCCTGTTGATGGTGGGAATGTAATCGTTACTGCAACATCAGGCGTATCTCTCATGGAAATATATACACCAGGGGATGACGTTTGTCACTACTGGCAAGAATTTGGCGATGGCAATGGCAATGGGCCGATCCAGAAGCAAATAAATCTAACTGAGCAAGACTTGCGATCCCGACTACCAGAGGAACGCAAGAAAATGCCTCTGAAATTATCAATCAAGTCGGTGGCAGGCGGCAGCCATGAAGTGGAAGACTTTGGTATACTTGCATCCAAAGCTTCAAGGACAAAACTACAAAATGGCCAAATGGCATTCAGAAGCAGCAAGCTCGGGCTCTCACAGATGAATGGCTCTCAGCCACAGGAATTTGCTTTTGACAGCGTGTTGCAACAAACCAAGATCATCACACAGGTAAAGGTATATCATGGATTCGCACTGGATGGTATAGAATTCATGTATGAGGACTCTACAAGTCAATTGTTTGGTAAACGAGGCGGCCAACCTGGTGGGAGTGATTTCTTTCTAGGTAAATCAAATATCACCAGAACTCGCCCATTTCAGGTTGCTAATTGTCTTTAGATACCAGGAGAGGCGAATACATTACTGGATTTTACGTGAGGAGTGGGGTTTGGGTTGATGGAATCGCGATTATGACTAGTCTCGGCAGAAAGTCTGCCGTATTTGGGAACCCGACTGGCGGTTCTGGGTAAGTCATTCTTTCTTGCTTGATTGCTTGAGGTTAACAGATGTAGACATACTTTGATACCCCCACGTGGATATAGCATTGCAGGAGTTAGTGGATCATGCGCGGATTGGGTGGATGGATTTGGTATCCTTATTACTCGATGAAGATGGCATAACGCTTTCGATTCAAGACACAAGAATCAATTTGGGCATTTCAGCGGGCATATGAGAACAACAAGCATACTTGTTCAATTCTGAGAGTCAGGGCCGTCCGGGTCTCCTTATGACCCGGCTAGGGATATCATAATAACGGTGAGGTACGAATGAGTACGTAATGAGGATTGTGGGCTGTATATAATCGTCTCCAGCCTGTTTGCAGAACAGCAGCTGCAATGGCTTCGGATCAAGCAACATAGAAGTGCGGTTAGTAATAGAGCTTCTTCGTTGTATCTACAAAGTGTTGATCACGGGCACTGCTATCCTCGGCGTACGATGTGATGTATGGAGAATGCAGGCGGGCTAGAAATAGATCAGCACCACAATTGTGATCAACAGAGTTTGTGCTGGTACAATTAAAGGTTGCAACAAACTCATAAGCATTCTGTGGGACCCCCAATTGCGGTAGCGGCTAATGGCAATCTCTTGACAAGTGCTCGGTAGTACCCCCTTGTGTCCCATTTATCTCGCGGGATGATGTCATCGATAACTGAAGCTTTCCCAAAGGCTTCGCATTACACACGTACGTCTGAAGTACGATACTCTTATTACATGCCCCTCCGTGCACCGAGACTGAGACAGAAAACCAGGTCTTTGGCACGAGTACTCGGAATTCCCTCGCTTGGACCAATCATGTGCTTTTGTGAAGTGTTAGGATCACATTAGCTCATGAGCTAGCTCACTACAAGTAATGCCTTCTCCTTCCCGCGCCTAGCCAACGCTACGCAATGCAGCCCAGCTCAGCTCAGCTTTCTTTGTCGAGACCAATCTCTAACTTCAGGTCCTTCAGAGCTTCGTCAACCTTCTTACCAAGTACTTGCCCTACCTAAGAAACCTATTCGATCGTGATCTGACAACGACCTGTCATAGCTCAGTGTCTCCTACTTCAAGATGGTCTCCCTTTGGGGCAACAAGGACGGCGAGGAGAATGGAAATAACGCCACTACCCCGCAAAATGGAGCGTCCAGCAGCAGTCATCAACCTCGCAATTCAGAACCGGATGAAAGAACCCAATTGCTTCCACCTTCGCATCACGAGGGATTCCTAAGCCCCGACGATCCTGCGGTAACTTGAAGCGAATCCGCAATGTATCTGACAATTACTGATGAAGAAATAGGTTACCCCGTATAATCTCTGGTCGGTGCGCTTCACGCGGTACTTTACAGTCTTCTTTGCGGTAATCACCTTCCTCTGGTGGGCTCTCCTGTTAGTGTCCATATTCGTAAGTCCGCCGGGAATGCACTCCCGTGGCTCGGGCTTCTTCGACTTCTCGTATACGACGTTGACGTTGGGTGTACTCCTGGTCGTCCTACTTTTCTTCTCTGTCCCCTCGACGGCCTCACAGGTGACTTGTCTGATCATCTCGCTGGTACTGCTGGTTGATATGATCTTGATTGTGTCTGTCGCTCGATTGCGTACCGAGGAAGGTTGGGTTGGGATCACTAGTTGTGTATGGGCTCTTCTCATGTCACTATGGGCAATTTCTACAGACCAACTCGTCACCTGGGGCAAACATGAGGAGGAAGAACGTCTTACTGGTCGTCAAGAAACTCGTCGTACCGTTGGGGAATGGTTCGCGGTTCTAGCGTCAACAATCGTGCTGATTGTTGTTGCTATGGTTGGTGTACTTTTGACAGCAACCTTGATTCTTCGAGCTCGCGATGCTTCTCTTGCACCACCAGGAGAGAGATATTACGTCGATGGAGACAAATATCAGATTCACATATTCTGCGAGGGCAACGCGACAGACTCCAGTGGAAAGAAACTTCCAACAGTTCTCTTTGAGGCAGGCGAAGGCCCTTTTGCAGGTGGAATGAACATAATTGCTCTGAATGCTCTCGCCAATGGAAGCATTAGCAGATACTGCTACTCGGATCGCCCAGGTATAGGATGGTCCGACAACGCACCCTCCCCCTTCTCAGCAGGCATGGCAGCAGATGTACTTTCTGAAGCTCTAGCTCGTGCAGGCGAAGAAGGACCTTTCATCCTAGCCAGTCAAGGCGTAGGTAGTATCTACAGTCGAGTGTTCTCCTCCCGGCACGGCCGCGACGTCAAAGGCATCCTCCTCATCGATCCCCTCCACGAAGATCTCCTCTACCGCATCGGCTCCCCGAACCGGGGCTTCCTCCTCTGGGCCTGGGGAATCATCTCCCCTCTCGGACTCGATCGCAACTTTGCCGCCATCATCAAAGGCCGCACACGCGAAGATCGGGTCTTTGGCCGGTCCGCGTATCAAAGTGGGAAGTTCATCAAGGCAAGGTTACAGGAGAGTCTTGTGGCAAATAGTCTGACGAAGAATGAGGTTGGTAGTGCGAGGAACATCCAGAAGGAGAAGACGCCGTTGGTAGTTATTAGTTCAGGGATCAGTGTGAAGACGGATACGGAGTGGGAGAAAAAACAGGGGGATCTGACGAGGTTGACGAGGAATCTTGTGGCGTGGGATATTGTTAATAAGGCGCCCTCGGAGGTTTGGAGGACGAGGGATGGGAGGGATATGATTGAGAAGAGGTTGGGCGAGTTGGTGAAGGGAAGTGCGTAGGTTGGATTCGATTCGATGGATGGTTAAGTGGGGTTTGGATTGATATGTGAGAGATCCCGCTTCTCGTTTCCCATTTTTTGGTACTTGAGTTTTTCTTTCCATCTTTTTCCTATCTTCCTCCTCTTTCTGGTTTTTTTCTGCGGGATATCGGGTTCCATATACATCTTCTGCATAAGCCAGGTGCTGGTTCGGATTGGGGTGTTTGTTTTCTTTTCTTCTTCTTTGGGTAATGGGATGGGAATGGAATGGGATGGAGCGGATGGGTTGCATTGGATTGGGTGGGGAAATCTATGATGTACATGTCCTTTCACTAATCATTATTGAGTTAATTTGATATAATACAATAGCCTCTCTTACAGTCTTACTTTATTCGTGAACTGCCTCATTGCTCTACTTTTTTGAAACTCCTTTCTTAGATTTGGTAGGTAGTACTTGTAATCAATTCTGGATTGAAAGTGAGCAAGAACGGGTGTTAGGTTGAGAGATTGAGAAGTTGAGAAGTTGGGAAGTTGGGAGTTGGAAGTTGGGAGTTGGGAGTTGGGAGTTGGGAGTTGGGAGTTGGGAATTGGTAAGTGAAAGGATTGGCTCTGTGTGTGGTGTTGTGGTATATTGTGGAGGGATATTTTATTGTAATAAGTTGACTATTGTTTTGAAAGGGGTTTTGGGGGAGTGAAGAGTGGTTGGGTACAGGGTTTTTGTTTTGAGGATGAGAGACTGGCTGTTGGTGGGGGTGAGGTTTGTTGGTAACGTGTAGGGGAAAGTTTGTGGTATGTCTTGCTGAATGTTGGATGTACGAGTAAGACTACTGTTGGCTTTTATAACTTAGGACTCGGTTAGAAATTTCACTTGCACCAACATACTCAGGCTATCAGCTATATACCACTGGTGAATTCTTTGATTGTGATAAGGGTCAACCCAATTAGCGTTTTGATTTCCACCTTGGGAGCACTATGACTGACTTTTGTCCGAGAACCACTTGCTGGGCAGAAAAGCAGCGTTTGAAAGAACTACTCAGCAACTCGAGTACTACTCAGAGTCACTCGAGCTGAGTTGAGTTGAGTTGAGTAGAGTAGTAGATTGGACTACTCAAGCAGTACTCTCGAGTGGTAATATAAAACGTGACTTAAATACAAATATTATCTTATACCTTCTAGGGACCTTGGTCCGAGTACCTAGACCGACCATTTGGAGTGCCGGCGGGGTCCCCGGGCGCGCTACAGGAATTCGGGCCGACTTATCCCGCACTACTCGAATAATTCATGAGTTATTCAAGTATTTAGCGAGTTGAGCTGAGTAGGTCTAAAAACGATTTGAGTTAAGTTAAGTGGGTACTACTACTCAACTCAACTCAACTCATTCCACACGCTGCAGAAAAGTGGAGTTACAAAATACATCTTGACCATCCGGATTGCCTTCAATTAAAAAGCTCCAGTAATCAAACCACTGAGCACCACAATAGCCCTTACCAGCCTTTCCACATCCGTCATTAACAGCACCTACAAAAGCTGCAAGTTCTTTCTTTGCAATGGTGAAATTATCGACTTGCTGCGTGTCCATCAAACCAGTGGTCAGTAATGTGAAAGTCTTTGAATGAAGCAATGCACTTACATGGTTACAAAATGTCGCAACAGCATCTCCTTGACAAGCGATTGTATTACAAGTCTCAGGCTTTGCAGTCATGGTGTACTTTCCATTTGTAGGATTTAGGAGTTTTATGATTATTGCGTCGAGATTCCCCCGTGACGCACTTGACCACATGTTGTCAAAAGCTGTCCCGCAGCAACCTACGTTCCACTAAAAGGAACTTGGTGAGCAATTGTCTTTCACAAAGCTAGTGGACGCAGGAGTAGAATGAAGAGGGCAGGATGTATTCGAGTACCTGAATAGGCGTGTTGCGGGACTGCAAACTGAGACTTGGATCCTTGGCTGTACCGCGAGGTAGGGAGACACTTGGACTCAAGGATTTTAGGTGGTCAAGTCTATGGCTTGCGCGTATTGAGAAGACTTGAGTGGCCCAGGAGACAAGGGTCAAGAATAGGAGGAGATGCATGTTGGAGACAATCCTAAGATCAGGATTGTATTGAGGTTGGAGTATAATATAATTGCCAAAAGGAATTTGGCGATTCGAGTTTGACTTATTGCCCACAGAAAATGTATAAAAGTAATGTTGAAGTTCTTTAGTTCCAAAGGTGGACGCACTCCAGAGGTTATCCCTTCAAGCTTTATAGTCATGTCGTATGAGCTATATATAGTTGCCTATCCTGAATGGTTACACATTAATCCAACGCAACTGATCAAAGAGCCTATTATTTGATCACCGTACAATACCTGTGGCTGGACTCTAACCAGCTTTTCGGAGAGGCTTCGCCATGTTGGTTTGCGTTCCTGATTTAGAAGCAACAGACCGTACCAACCACATGGGTAAGATTACAAGCGAATAAGCGAGCCAAGCCCGAGTAAACCAACATTCCAGTAGCCAACCCAACAACCCAACAATCCAAGAATCATGTGAGATATTGGAGCCTATGTTTCTTTGTGTCGTGATCCAAAAACTTAGAACTACTTCCCAAATTCGAAACACCAACCGAATTGAGGAACGGGAGATAACGGAGGGGGTTGAGATGTAAACAGATAATCCGAACTACCCAATAAGGCAGCTTGCGCCGCTGGATGATCGAGGCTTAGGTCCCAACTAGATCTAGGAAGGTGAGACAATTGTGAGAGATGTGCTCGTCGTTTTGCGCACACGCAAGTAAACTAGAAAACGTGGTAGAGAGCTTCAATCGATCATAGTGATTTTCTGAATAGTTCGAAATAATTTAGATTCTGTTTGGCTTGTTCACATACGAGAGAAGTATGTAATGCTATGTAAAAGTTGAGGAGAGCACATATGTGCCATTGAAGAGGTCCAACCATCAGAAGGGACCAACCATCAGTTGTGTGTTATATCATGTATGAATTCACCCTTATGTATGAATGGATCCTATTGGTGTTTCCATTTTTCTCAGATTGAAAAACCTGGGTAGGTCATTGGGTAATGCAAGGACAGACGCAGAGGAAGTACTCGCTTATTCACCTTGTTTTTCTTCTTCTCTCTTTTCCCCATTGGTATAGTTCTAGACTTTCGTAAGGTATTTAGGCAGGACTCGAACGTGAACTCAGTCGTGTTTAAAATAAATTACGGCTTCAACTTCACATATCTTGTCGCCTACGAGGAAAACAAGTCCGTTGATAACCATAGTTTGATAGGATTTCCAATCTCCCCGAATCTGCGACCAGGGCAGCATTCTCTAATAACAAAAACATAATTTTCTATCTACCTCGTATTCCAGCCAGTCGAAGAAGCGGAGAGATCTCTATTGAAAATAAGCTCTACATCTCTTCAGATCCGCTCTAACGATGATATTAAAATTCCTATCATCAAACTGCTGCCCACAAAATCCCCTGCCATGCTTTCCACACCCATCCTTGATCGAACCAATATACCTGGCAATCAAAGTGGAATCAACCAAAACCTCACCACCCTGAAATGATCCTCAGCAAGTTTTCGACATTGAAAGGATATTTCGTAGAGATACTTACATCGTTACAAAGCTCCACCATGGCTATTCCTTTGCATCCCAATGGCTTGCATGAAAGAGCTTCTGCTTTGATGGTCACTTGGTATCGAATCCAGTAACTGATGTCTTTTTCTATGTCTCCTTCCGATGCTTCGACCCAGCCATAGGCGTCACGCATGTCGGAGCAGCAGAGGAGATTTGCCTAGAGCGCGATTAAATTTCATGAAAAGAAATGAGGGAGAATTTTATGTACTTGGCCGCGGGGTTTTAGGTTGAGACCGAGTTCCTCGACTGCGACTTTGGTATCGGAAAGCCGAGCCGCTGCGGTGAGTCTGGTGTCTGTTGGCATTGATAGACCCTAGAAACAAGGATTATTAATAAGTGGTCAAAATCTTGGAAAGCGAAGAAGTGTGATTACTAAAGTGACCCAATAAGCAAGCGTCACGATTATGAACTTGATGAGCATGACGAAATCTGAGTTGGTAGTACTTGGATGGAAATGTGATTGACTGGAAGTAGGTTGTGGTCGTATATTGGCCTGTCAAGCCAGGCTGGGATGTTGCTATTGATACCAATAAGTTGAGAAGCATACGAGTATTTGGGATAAGGCTTGATGTTTATATCAAGACTCTTTTGTAGTCTTGGTTAAGAAAGGAGAAGGCGAATACACACAAACGTGAATAACACCTTAACTGGTAGAGCTTCTGTGGATCATTGGCAAGTAAAATCAGTGAAGGCTTGAAAAATAGAGTGAATAGCCAAGATCAAGAAGAGATAACTGTGATTCATTGAGACTCCTCGGAGCAATTCATTGCGAACTACAGTGAAGAGAGGCGACTTTCCCGCAGCAGCAGAGAGTATTTGGGCTATTGGTGTTTGGGAATATGGGGAGACGATAAGCTAGTACAATGTTGTTGTTATCTCGGGGGTATGGCGAAGTTGTTATATTCTCAGTGTACTTTTACTTTTGTTTTTTGTGTCCCCTCCTTCTTCCCCGTTCCAGGCGTGTGTCGAGCTGACGATTCAGTAGAGGCCCGGGCAATGATCAGTGGAACAGCTCAGGCAGATGCATCATGCGTGGCTACTGAAGAGCGTACTTTGCCTTTATATGGTGACTCACATCAAAGTTTCGCGTCTCTAAAAACAAGTTTCAAGTTTTCGATTTGTAATTAGTCATATTCTATGGAGTTGCCAGATTTCATATTCGTATACCCCCCAAGATCTCCTAATCCCCAACAACTATCTGCGCCAAACGTCTATAAACCTTCAAGAACCTATTCTCCTAGCCGAAAAACATAATAGAAACATTTGCGTCATGCAATCCCTTTACGCGGACACCCCTCTAGAATCGCCCCTTGGCCCTGGTTCGCAGCAGCAATAACATTAAACCCCCGATCATCAAACTGCTATCCACAATACCCCTTACCAGCCCCTCCACATCCATCCTTGATAGCTCCAACATAATTCGCAAGCAACAGGAAATCCATATAGCCCACGTCAGGACGACGCTGTATCCATGTTCAGTACACGAATGATGTTTTGATGGAAAGGGGAACGTACGTCTTGACAGATTTTGATGGAGAAAGATGTACCCTCTTCGCAGAAGGGCACGCATTGATGATCGACGTCGGGGCTAAATGCATATTGTCTTCTTGGCGACCTCAGGAAATAGTTGACGTTGTTTGTGAGGGCTTCCACACTCGCATTCTGCCAGCCATGACGGTCGGGCATTCCGGAGCAGCAGATGAGGTTTGCCTAAAATGATGTGGTTAGTAGATATCTCCTTTAGTGAAATGGTAGATGGCATGATAGAGCGTAGTGTATGTACCTGACCACGGGGCTTAAGGCTGTCCACAAGTGTACCGTTGCTGTTTGACAATCCAGATTCCGTGGAAGTTCTGCTGACTGTTGGTATTGCGAAGGTCTAGTTTTCAAAGGTCAGATTTTACTGTTTGTATCATTGAAGGTGTGAGCTAACCATAGTGACCCAGCAAGTAAGGACTGCGATCAATAATTTGAGCTGCATGCTTCCAAAGGGGTCGAAGAAATCCTTCAGTCGTTACACTCAAGTGGCAGATGAAATCAGGTATTTGGCTTGTTAAGCTTGATTGTGTGCGTACTCGAGCAAGTTGCTTTCCGTATGGTTTCTGTAATGCAATGGTTGCAAAGTTGAGGAAAGTGTAAGTGATCCTTGATGTGAGTTCTATGTTTTATAGATAGCTGGAAAAATTAGTTATGAATGCTCACCCGTTAGGCGTAGACGATTTGGCTGTGATTAAGTAGTCAAGTCTCTTTGTGTGAATCTTGAGATGGCTTGCTGTCTAGCATGCCAAGTCAGAATTTCTCGTCCCTTCAGAAACAATAGAACACCGTCAATCTATTCCTCAAGCTTAGATTAAACAATCAGACTCAAAGAATTAAAGGGATTCCCACCCTTCACTATAACCCTATGTACCCCCAGCGCCGTAGACTGGAGGCCCAAGGAGAAATCTGGGTATTGAATTATTTTAAAAGTCCAAAAGAAAATTTGGATGAAAAAAAATGAAAAAAGATATACTATAATCTTTTTTTTATCTATCTAGACATAATTAATATATGCGTTTTTTTAGGAATTCCAAGAAGACTTACTTTTACATACGACCGATCAGCCTGACGCTTGACCAGGGCGCGTCCAAATTAACGGAGGGAACAGTTGTGGTGTTGGCGCTCTTGGGAATTGGATATGGGAGCACACACTAAATGACTGGGCCAGGCGGGCAGGGTTAATCCCAGTTTTGGTGACGGTGGCTGTCTTATTTCCAGATATCAATACTGTTTTGCGACTTTTTGTGGGGTTTTGGCTAAGCGAGAGGTTGTGATTGGTGGAGTGGGGGGCTGAGGGGGCTAATTTTCGGGTGTTGGGTTGTTGATATCCCACGTACCGAGCTCGCGTCGTGTGGAGCTGTTGATCGAGCCTTGATGGTGTTCATACACAAGGTCCTCAGCCCTTTAGATCTAGCTGAGGAAACAAATTTAGACTCCATCCCATCTGATTGAACCAAACCCAAACATCTTGTAGTAACTCTCTCAATTCCCTACAACTACAATTCCACACTACACTAGCACAATTCCATTCACCAGCAGCACCACCACTTGAACTAAATGCCACCAAGGTGAGCTGGTATAATTGATTCACCATTCGTAGTGTCAACTGAATCTGTGTAGATCTGAACTTATGGTTTATCTAGAGTGACCTGGGCTTTTTATTAGCGCCTTCTTCTCGAATGAAATATACCAAAGCCCCATGCAGATTCGACGAGATAATGACCAAGGTGAAGAAAGCGGGGTCAATGTCTAATGTATCAACTGTCATACAAAAGATCAAGTATGTATCACAATGACGTTACCTTAATCTAAACAACGGCAAAAACCCTCCAAAATCTATCGTCAATATTCCCATCTAAGCACGTGGCAGAGTACAGATACAGATACCTCCGTAACACAAGACCCCGCAATACGCCCTCAGCCACAAATACTTTTGTATCACAATATATTCACTCCAGTACTCAAGTCATAAGCATCATAAACATCGTATCTATTGCCTTTTCATGATTTCAAAGATTGGTTTCCTTTCCCGGAACCCCTGAGGAAGGAATTGTTCGTACTGTACAAGAATATGCAACCGTCTTGCTTTCCGAAAAAGAAGAAGAGATCATTTTCCCCATTAGATCCCAGAGAAAGTAAAAAAGAAACCCAACCGTGGTAGAGAAGCCCATATTAGGTGAAAAGAGGGGAGGGGAAAAAACGTCCGCTATGCTTTTTGACCAAGGAATATGCGCCGTTTGTGTGTGGTTTCCATTTTGTACACCAAAACACCCCCGTTCCCTGGATTGATCCTTTCCTAGGCCGTCATATGAAAGAGAGAAAAAAAACAACGCCTTCCAAATTTGCCAAACCTCCTCATTTGTAATTAAGTATAGTATAGCATTCGAATGCTGTCCAACTCGTTATTATGTTTCTATCTCATCAGCATATCTTGTCGTCAAACTCATCATAGCCTGGGTCAAGCATTTTTCATCGCCAGGTTGCAGTACCACCACTTCTGTGCCTTTCCGATTCGGGAACCCCACGCTCATTGGACTGACTATACTTTCAACGTCCTCCTTGTCATACTTCGTTACTACAAGTTTGGTAGTCGCATAACCTTTCAAGATCTTGTCGCCATCATGTGCAGAGATCCAGACTCGAGCACAGAGATTCTGGGCAATTTCCAAGCCACCTGGGAATCCACGACAAATCTTGCCTCCAAGAAACCATGAGTTGGTGATCGTGTCGAAGCTATGGAGTAGTGCGGTAAGAGGTAAGGCTGCTTCGGCAACGAGATGCGAACTGACATAAGGTGACAAGGTTTTGTAACTGCAACCGTGTGGGGAGAATAGCACTGACAAAGCGCGTTCTCTAAGAGGATTGGAGACTATTGAACACGCACTAGACGGTGGAGAAGCTGGTGGTGTCATGGGGAGAAAGCGTTCAATGTTGGTTGGCGGACGGTAGGTTATGCCAATTGCGCTGTGGAGTCCAGTGATGTCGGGCTTCTGTTGCAAGTATGCAATTGTAACTTCTCCCATCACACCAAAAGGGAGGGGCGAATGAATAGGTATACGATACACGGCGGGAGATTTTCGGCTTCGGTACGAGTCCTGCCATTTTGGTAATGTAACAATCTTGTCTGGATCAAAATATTTCCAACTTCTGATGGTTTTGGCGGCTGATGGTTCGGCCAGGATGATCGTCTTTCCTCCACTCGCTGGCAGCTGAGTCAGAGTCTCCCGATGACAGTGATCGCTTTTGTCCTGACTAATCACGACTAGATCGGGCTCAGGAAGTTCTGCTAGTGACTCAATACATGCTGGCACTGTATGAGTTGAGATGGAGAATTTGGAATGCCATATCTTTGAAGGTCCTGAAATCCAAGGATCGAGGAGAATGGTGAACTTTCTATCGAAGGGACCAGGGGTTGGAGGTAAGCGAGATGTGGGCTCAAGGGTGAGGAGAAACGAAGCATCTGAATTGAGATGCTTAATCTTCAACGACATCTTGCTAGTTCGAAGTGAGATGATGAGGGAGATTCGTAAAGTTCGCGAAAGATCCACAGAAAATAAAGCGTGATTAAGGCTGAGGAGAGATTGCAATCGATCTTGGTCCAGAATTACTTGGAGAAGAAGCTGATATGCCAAGTTGTGGTATGCGGGTTTCCGATCGGTCTATGCGGTGGTCGGCCGGAACACAAGGCGGGTTGAGGACGATTTGAATATTTTTGTGACTGTTGTGGTCTGAGTTACCTGGCTGATTTGGGCATCTTGCAGGTAAAAGGTGGGATGATGGGATGGTGTGAGGGAATTGGTGAGGTTGCGGGTAGTAGTAGTAGAAGTGATTGTTGTTGTTGCTGGAGAAGAATTGCCTGAAAGCGGTACAAGTACAGCCAGTACGTACGTGGGTACGAATAAGTGCTGGCGCAAGGTGTATTTGTATTGATAAGTAAGCTGTGCAGAGAAAGGGCATGTGGTAGCGGATGTTTCGTCCACCGAAGAAACAAAGACGCTCACAATCTGAAGCTAGGCGAGGCGAGGCTCTGTCATATATTGGTGGGGAAGGACCACAGACGCCTTTCTTGCATTGCCATTGTCGTTGGAGGTTCTATTGTGTTTTCAGGAGGGCGAGTCCAGCCGACCTTACATACCCCTGTCAGATCTGATCTCGCTAGCGAACTCCCTCATTTTCGTCTTTGGTCAACACTCCTTTTTGGTAACTGACTGTATTGTGGCATTTCAATCAGCTTGACGTTTTTCCAGGTACTTTTACTTCGAATCATAATCAATTTCCTTATTTTTATCAATGGTTTGTTGTCTTGTTGGTGGTAATCCAAATTTCGAAGAAATTGTTCTTGGACGTTGGATATCACAACGGGTAGGATTCGTGCCGCACCGCCCTTCCCTGTAAGCGGCAACTATAGTAGCTATGTTTCGGAGTTAAACCTGACAGACATGAAAACTGATGGGTTCCAGATTTAATCACTAGAGCATAATGTGGGAAACCTTTCGCTTTTCGTGAAGGACAATATTCAGCATTCAGATACTGTAGTAAATTCGAGTACGTCCTGCAACTTTCGACATCAAAGTAAACTTATTTCCTTACTAGGCGCGTCGTCAGGGTGATCTACCCGACCAGCCCGCCGAACGAATGACTTCCCAGTCTCCCAAGTCTCTGGGCCAAGGCTAGAAAAGGCAACACTTACCGAACACCGAAAAACTGCGCCCCCGACGCAAAAAGCGGCATGCGCTTCAAGAAGTGAATATTGCAATTTTGACACAGCCCAATTGAGCCAATACATTCTGAAGGGAAAACACCTTCCAACTTTGCAAAATGGCCTCAAGCACTGCTCACTTTCATTTTCTACTTCTGGAGCTTGAATGACCTTAATTGCTACCAGTTTCTCCATCTTCTTCAGCAAGAACAAAGGTCCAGGTTCTTGACGGTTTGAGTCTCCTAGTTTGTTGAAGTCGAAACTTGGAGAAGCTGAAGCTGGGAAACAGCGGCAAACTCAAGGATTCGGAGTTTACTGAAAAGCCGCAAGACACTCTTGATACTATCATGGCAGTCAATACGCCCCTTTGGGCTAAGGATCATTATGTGAAGGATGAGGGGGTGAAAAGCGAAGATACCTACTATTCACTTGTGGTGAATGTCCATTAACTCATGAGCTGGATTATTTAAGTGACATCAAGATTAGATAAGAAGCAGTTGAATTGTGCATTGTATGCATTTGCTCAACTCAATTATTTGTTTCTCGAGAATTAATTTTTGATCACGCAGAATACCTGAATACCTGGAAGTAGTTGCTAGCAATTATTTCAAGCAACCATTGCTGGAAGTATATAAGTAGCCATTTGCTGCAAAAAGGTTCCCAGTGACTACCCCGCAAGCATATGTTGTGTACTTGCGCATGGAGCAAGCTGAGTCCATTGTGAAGTAGGCATCCTCATATATGGGCCCCGGCCAGACGACCTGGAAGAAAAGGCGCTCCGCGTGATAAGCACGTGATGACCATCAGTTAGGTGCGGATGACCTCGGGATTCTCTTAAAGATAAGCGCATCAAAAGTATCTTATGTTTGATGGCCCTATACTGATATACATGATATCTTAATGAACTAGTACAACAAACATTGCATGCCTCAATTCAGGTGGAAAATGACGGGAAAGTCTCCACGCCAACAGCCTCCAGGCCAACGCCGAGCTAAGCTTGACCCCTGTAGCTCACAGCTCAGACTTTCGCCTCTTGTTCGGAGATAGAAATTTTCCAAGATATGAGAGCTCCAGCTTTTGTCCATCAGATCAACACACAATTTCTGTACCAACATCAATTGCGCTCGGCCTGAATCTCCAATTCATTCTTCTGTGCGGATACTCATAATTCAATTGTACATTAAAATCATTAAAACGCCCTTCCCGGTTCCCTTGATCAACAAACAAGCTTCAAAGCTCTTCCAGGTACGTAGCTAGCTAGCTATAGCTACCCTTTACTACTCGTACACTCCACCCCTCCATCACCATAACCACCACCATCACTATCACACGATGCGATGCTGCAGGCTGAAGCTCTGTTCGCCCCCAAGGCAAGAGCTCTTTGGTGATCGGTTGCATAACGTGGTGGGAACACTCGCTCAGGAAAATCCGGATGAGGTCGGATTGGGGCATATGCAGGCTATGGAGGCATACCATGCCACACGCTCATACTCTGCCAGAAGTTGGAGGATTGGCTCTGCCCGGCTCTCATGAGGTCGTTCGGGACAAATCAGTGACCTCTGACGAGTTTTGCACGGCCAGACCAGATCCTCTTCTGGATGAGCGAATTTGGGCTGAAGAGGGCTAGACTCTCAAGTGGCTTTGAAATGTGCTGAAGAGGCGTATTTGGTGCTTGTACCTATTACTGGTACTTTATACATACTGAGTACCTCCGTACTTGGGCCTGAAGCACGACATCGGCATAAGTTACGCCTCGTCAGCACTCACTTCCAAGCTTGGTTTTCCTTGCCCGTCACCTTGACTCTGCTCCTCCCCTCCTGCGAGGAGCATCAGCATACCGACACCGACCTCACCCTCGCCCCTCAACAACCCCTCATTCACCATGATGAGGAGCAGCAGCCGCAGCCCCCCGTCGTTCTCTCCACCCCATCGGCGCTTTTAATTCGTCCTTTCCGACCCAACTCAGCCAACATTCGGGTTTTGCGCTAACACTAAAGCGGACTAGCTCAAACATGGCGGGGAGACTCTTCAGAAATACACCCCACTTCCATTTCCCCTCCTCCATCGCAAAATCCTTCACACAACAACACACAAGACAATTCCACGCATCAACCGCAAACATGACCATCAAGACGTAAGATTTACACTCCATTGTCCTCTCTCCCTCCAGCTAACCCTTCTAGTTACTTCGAAGTTACATGGGAGGGTCCCGTTTTGGAGAACGGAAAGCCAACTTCCAAGGTTGCAGGTAAGCAAGCAAAATCCACTTCAGCTTCTTCCACTTTGATCATGGAGCATCAATTCCATCACACCAACTACCTATCCATCATTGCTGCAATAGCATGGGGCTTTAGTCTTGCCCAGTAGTTTTGTACTTGCTTGATGATTGCAGTCTCGAGTCTCGTCAAGCTGCCGTCATTAGCCTCATCACTTATACCCCCCAACTCACCATCAAAAGCTAACACAATCACCCTACAGAGCAGTCAGGACGCATCAACTTCAATCTTTACGATGACGTAGTCCCAAAGACCGCCGAGAACTTCCGTGCTCTTTGCACCGGTGAGAAGGGATTCGGATATGCTGGATCTTCCTTCCACCGCATCATCCCTCAATTCATGCTTCAGGGTGGTGACTTCACCCGCGGCAACGTACGTCTCGACAATTCATACATCCTCAATTAGATACTGATGGCAATATAGGGTACCGGTGGAAAGTCCATCTACGGTGAGAAGTTCGCCGATGAGAACTTTGTCAAGTCCCACACCAAGCCAGGACTCCTCTCCATGGCCAACGCAGGACCAAACACGTAAGCTATACAGATCCCATCTTCTCATTCCACCCTCTAACATACAATAGCAACGGATCCCAGTTCTTCGTTACCACCGTTGTCACCAGCTGGCTCGATGGCAAGCACGTCGTCTTCGGCGAGGTTGCTGACGAGCAATCTTTGAACGTTGTCAAGGCTCTCGAGGCCACTGGCAGTGGAAGCGGAAAGGTCAACTACAACAAGAAGCCAACAATCGTTAAATCTGGACAGGCATAAATTAGTTGCATTGGCAGTTGATCTGGTGAGCCATGTGAAAAGCGTTTCTTGAATCTCTATCGAGATGCTTTGAGCAGGGCGAGGGACCAGGGGACGAAAAAACTCATGATGAATAGCAATGTTACTACTTTGCAGCCCCATTGATTAGTATAAGCCATTGTCCTGTGATATGTCTGTGATTGTATTGTCCTATTTCTAGTAACATCACTGAAAAATTCCACATGCCCAAATTACAAGTCGCTGGTATTTTGCAAAGCCTTTTGGTATCACCCCCCAAACTCCCGTGCCATTGACGCTATGCAGTCGAAATCAAAATCTAATCATCTCATCACCTACTCAAGCCATTCCTGGAGATATTGACAGCTGCTTGGTGCCACCGGGCCTCCCTCTTCGCAGACGTCAAAGACAGGACAACGACCACAAGGTGCCTCGTTGTAGACACTCGCGACATCAATTCTCTCCTCCTTTCGCAACGCCTTTCTTGTGGCCTTGTATCCAATCTTTGTACCACTTACCACTTGTTCAACGTCGCCATCAAGAATCATAATGTCGAGTACTTGTTTGATCTCTTTTTTCTCGAGAACGGTATCCTTGGTGACGCCCAATTGGTAAACGTATTGTGTAATTCGCTCGACAGATGGATATCCATCGAAATTGGCGGGCATCGATAGGAGGCTTTCGTATTTCCTGATGCGCTGCGCCTTTTCGCTATCTTCGATATCTATATCATGGGTTTTGCCTTTGGGTGGAGGGTAAGGCACACTTCTCTTAATCGTCTTCTTTGGTGAGCGTCGAGCTTTTTCTTTGGAGGGGTAGAAGCTGCGCTCCTTGAGAAAGTTGAGAATCACACTACAGATACCTTCGACGAAAGCCGTGTCTAGATCGCCATCCGAGTGCCATGCGCCACCAATAACGCGCTCGCTGGCCTTGGTCGCAATCTTGATCCAGATGACGTGTGTCTTGTGCTCAACGGAGTTCAGCCGTTTGATGTACTTGTTCTTAAGCTTTTCGATAATTTTGTTGACGAGGACATCGTGGATTTGAGATCGGTTTTTGATGTTTCGCTGCCAGATTCCTTCGTTGCCGGCTTCGTCGATCAATTGATATACAATCTCATACTCTTTTCCTATCCGGGCGATCTTTCGATATCTAAACGCAAAAGAATCAGCCTGGCTTTCTTCGATTGGTTGAAAGTGCTCTCGTCTTCGCCATTGAAATTCACTTACGTTTCAGCTTCGGCTGTACTGCGAATGCGCCAACCCATCCCATCGATATCTTGGACTACCTTGAATCGTCGGTCGTCTATTAGGTATTGTATAGTCGCAAGGAGTTTGTTGAGGTGTTCTCCATCGCTATCCGAATGCTCGTCGCCGAAGAATCTGTTCAAGAGTTCATCCTGTCGAAAGATCATTTCCTTTCCAATGCTGTCATCGTCCGCGTCGATTTTGTCCACACAGTACCGGTACAAGTCCTCTGCCTGTGGATTGGTTGGCTCCTTAGCTGCCTTGGGCACCTTGGGCGCAGTTTGACTGCTGGAAGCCATCGCGATTGAGGGTTGGTTGTTGTCGCGAAGGAGGGGTTGGTGATGTTCTCGTGCTACCGGCGGGTGTGTGGGATTGACATCTAGGTCGACGGATGTGCTACGCTGCACGGCAGAAGATGTTGTGGTTGTGAAGGTGGTGGTGAATGACTCGATGTGGTGTTGGTGGAAATTTTTGGTTTTTACAAGCGAGGCTACAGCCGCGGGACAGGGGAGATAGGAGGGGAGCGAGGGGTCTTTGGGATGTACGAGTAGGTGCGGAGGGTTAAGGTGGCATTGGATAGCTCCCTGCCTAGGTAGGTAAATCTCGTATCAGTTTCTTGGATTGGTTTCAGTGAGTTCTTCTTTAGATCAATTAATTTATTTGAGATTGTAGCGCCATTAGGGTGAATGTTCCTGTAGGTAGTTAACTAGTACTTACCTAGGTTATACCGCACTTCCCTACGGGCTATTTTCTATGGGGGGGGGGGG